CTTTAATAACAGTTATTGCTATTATTTCGTAAAGGGTATAAAAAACGTTGTATACTAGTTATACAATAATTTAATAAAGAATAAGGTTTATATTCACTATACAACTGTGCTAGCAATACACGTTTTATATCCAATATTCACCTGTTTAACTGTCACATATAGTATACAATGGTCTTATAACGGTATATAGAATTCTAATAAAGAATAAAACGCATTTCTTTCAGTGTTTCATTTTAATTCCTATAATATTTCAATTTTCTATTGTTATAACATTACCTGAAACTGTGACGGCCTACCAAATAACATTGTCCATGAGTAAATAGGCTTTTCACGGTTTAATTAGTGAGATTTAGTTAAAATACGTAAAAAATGTCTTATTTTCTCAATAAAAAACCTTCATTTCGTTTTTTAATATTATCTCACTTATTGCTAGAGATGGGCCCAACAGACCCTATATGACCATGATCGACAGAGAACGTTCTATCCAAATATGTAAAAATATATAGGGTGTTCCATTTAAATTAAGAAAGTTAATATCCGCGGTCATTTTGTTTAGACTTCATTTGTTTTTCCACTGTCATTTTCGAAAACTTTATAAAAAATCGTGCAACTTTTATATTTCACATTTTTTTATAACTCTTAAAACAAAAAAGTTAATGAGGGGCCAAATATAGTAAATCACCCTGTACAATTCTTGGAACATTATTGACGCATGCAATTGTTTTGGTGTTGTTTCATTCTACAATTTTGTAGTAAGATGAAATTTCTTGAGATTTTCCGCGTTGCATAGGTGTCATGTCATTAGCGATTTTGATAAGAGAATTCCTAAGTTTATTTTTATGCACATCATCATAATTTTCAAACGGTACTTAGGTCTATTTTTACCCACTGTAAATTTGCCCAGACGGAATAATTTAATATTTGAGATATCAATATGGCATTTTTCTCACACAGTTTGATTCCTCTCTCACTTTGCTAAAAAAAGATATACCGTATATCAGTCGATATTTTGTACCGTTTTTGAGAAAATGAATTTTATGAACAACATACAGTTATCAAAAATGCCATACTAACATTTTTGTAAAAATCTTGGTTTCTATTGAATTAAAAGAAAACTATTAACTAAGATGTTCAATATGTGCACTTTGAACTTCAATACATTTTCTGAAATTGCTCAAACACCTCTACTGTATTCGAAATAACATGTGGTGATCATTTCTAATCATATCGGCGTACGTAATTATGCGATTTAATAATTCTTCCCTACAACAGAATAAATAGCTTAGCGTCATTATTTCTTATAGAACTAAAATGAATTTTGGGGATTTTTTAATGGAAAAATATTGCGGCTGATTACTAAAAATATTTATTAGTAAAAGAATCGCTATCTACATTAAATTTCAAAAATACGCAAATATAACATATTATAGGGTATACGTAATTTTATATTTTTGCCCGCTGCCATGGAACTGATCCCACCTCTGATAAAAAATAATCTGTAAACGTGGTCCTTACTGTGTTAGCATCTTGATTTCCGCGAACTACTGGCCCTTGCTGTAAATCCTGTAATCCTGTAATGCTTATTGTGTCTTCAAAATTGAGTCCGTCACGTTCGCGAACAAAATTGTGTAACAAGATACATGCTTTTGTCACTTCTACAACAGAGTCGACAGAAATATTAAACGGTCTATGGAATATTCGCCACTTATTTGACAAAATGCCAAATGCACATTCGACATATCTCCTTGCTCTAGAAAGTCTGTAATTAAATATTCTTTTTTCATCATTTAGATGCCTTCCTCCATAGGGACGTAGTAAATTGCTGGTTAGTGTAAATGCCTCATCTGCAACGAAGACGTATGGAGCACAAGGATTATTGGTGTGCGGCAAGGGCTTAGAGTCCGGTAATCTTATTGTTCCATCTTTAATTGATTTTGCTAAGGAGGAATTTTTAAAAATAGTTGAATCACAGTCTTTCCCATAACTTCCAATATCGGCATATACAAAACGATACTCCGAATCAGCAACAGCCATTAGCACAATAGAAAAATAGTCTTTATAGTTGAAATACATAGATCCGCTATGTTGTGGTTTAATTATTCTTATGTGCTTTCCGTCCACTGCTCCAAGGCAGTGAGGAAAGTTAGCTTTATTTTCAAACCCGGCGGCTATATTTTCCCATTTTTCTTTAGTTGGAATGGGCATACATTCTTCACGCATAACGAGCCATATGCTACAACACACAGTGTGCACTATTTCTTTCACTGTTGATATTCCCAAGCGAAAACTATAATGCAGATCTGTAAATGTACAGCCACTGACCAGATATCTGAAAAAAAATACATATCAACATAAATAGTGAGGCACCCAATAATTTTGTCAAATTTTAACTTGAGTTTTCAACCGACTGGAATAAGCATCGGAACATTCGATAACTAGATATTTGGGCACATTATCATAAGGGTACATTGGTTTTACCTAATTTAGTTGGTATTAAAAAAGGGTCTTCTATACAAGTCTGCAAATTTTTTAAACATTCAGGGGACCCCAAATTGGATACATTGATTTTGTATCTCTTATATCTTCGCTAGTATTTTTGAATCATTAAGTCATTACATGGGCATATATTCACCCCTTTCAAAAATATTGCAGTTTGAGTACATTTTCTGTGCTGTAAGTATGCCTAAGGCAGGCAGTTAGCCATTTAGTTAGTAGCTATCTTCATGGGGTTGAGTTGACAGTTCCGATTTCCCGATGATTCTTTGGTTGTTATTTGTTATTCATGTTCGAATGTTCGATATTAGTTTTTCTTTAGGACTGGAAATAAATACCAGAACAGCTAAAAGTATTTTATTCTTATTCCGAACCCTAACATAACATTTTCCACTAGTCTTTTTTAATAGGACATTTCCGTTTGAACAAAATATTTTTAGCAATGATTGCTAAACCTATACGAGAAGCAGTCAACATTACAATCTCATAAGAAACGTATGGGGTGCATTATTTTCCGAAACGAAACTGTAGTTTGACTGGTCCTGGTATATAAGGTTTAGCAATTATTGCTTTGATTAAAATTAAGAAGATACGAATTTATCCAAAACATGTTTTATTCAAACGTAAATGTCCTCAACAAATCTTTGGTAGAAAATGCATTCGAACTGCAGTATTTTTGAAACTAGTGTATATTTTGTTATGCAGCTTACTTACGACAAATTTTTCAAAAACGTCTAGAAATATTGACTTAATGATTCTAGAATACCACTGAGGATAACCACAAAATCACTATGTTCAATTTGGGGTCACCGTCTGAATGTTTTAAAAAATGCAGACTTGTATACAAGCCCTGTATAATAAAAACTAAAATGGGTAAAATCGAAATTCTCTTATAGGAATATGCCCAAAAAAACTACTTATCATATGTTGCAATGCTTATTTAAATTAGTTGAAAACTGTAGTAATAAAAATAGATCATTTTAAAAACATATTTTAAGTGCGCTATACGCTTTCTTGTGTGAAAACACAGTGTTGTTTTGAATAAAGTCTCATAGTTTTTAAATATGAAAATTTTATAACATTATTTTTTAATATTCAAACAATGCATTTTATTACAGCCAAATCAATCCAGAAGAAGTGGACGCATTTTCGGGATGCGTGGATGAAAAATTGTAAAAAAGAAAAAGATTTCAAGAAATCCGGAAGCGGCGCAAAATCGTTTAAAAAATATATATACCACAACCAAATGTTATTTTTGCAAAAAGTTATCGAAATGAGAAACACCCAATCAAGTTTAATGAGTGAAGATATTAGAGCTGCTACAGACAATGAGGAGGGGGACGGAAACAACGAGACACAGGCTACAAATCTAACGGAAAAAAGGAATGTGAGTCAGTCTTGTTTACCCCCAAGCAAAACTTCCGATGGTGCTTCAAAAACCAATAAAAAAAGAAAATTGAATAGCTTTGAAGAACAGATTATACAGGAATTTAAAGAAAAGCCGGAAGAAAATCGCCATATGTCTTTTTTTAAAGGAATATTACCTTCCATTAATCAGTTTACAGAGGATCAAACAATGGATTTTCAGCTTGGAGTTTTATCTCTTATTAAAGACATTAAAAAAGGATTTACATCACAAAATAAACCTCCAAATAGTAGCTTTTCAACCCTACCTGGATCTTTTCGACAAGGTAATTACTATGGAAATCTCAATCCACCAAGATATTATACAAATAATTCCTCGGACACTTCTGACAGATCTGAACGGTATATCCAGTCACCACCATNAATTTTTTTAACATATTGTGCCGCCAAAAGTTAAGCCCACGTTTTTTTTTATTCGCGTAGATAAATTTTCATTTCTAGTGATATTTGAAAGCCAAAAAGCCAAAAATCTCCGTGGATATACGGTTCACCCAAATAAGGCTTTTTGAAACAGATAACGTCTGGACTATAATGTAAGTTTTCTATGTATATAATAGAGTTTAACCACAGCATAATATGTAAATCTGCAGTTGTACTCCGTTGTTGACACTTTGATCTATTTTAGCCGTTTTTGGTGTCTTTGGATGGAGAAGCGCTGATCTGAGCCTCAGTAATATTTTTTTTACTTATGAGGGAAAGCCTATTAAAACAGATAAGAATCGTGATAAACATATAATTTAAAAATACAAAAATTCTTAATATTAATGCTTGCAAATATATTTTATATTTAAGTATAATATATATGCCTACAATCTTTTATTATTTTACATATTAACTACTGCATGTTATTTACTAAATTAAAAAGTATAGTTGTGGGTTCATATTTTTGCAGACTAAAAGCATTATAAATAGGATGATCTGTATATAATTCCAAGATAACCTCTGTTGTGCCGAAAATACGGTCAGAAATGCTTCTTTGTGAAAACTGTTACACAAATGCATTGTGTGAATCATTAGAAAATATCTTATTTTTCGTACTTATCGCAAATATCAGTAAAATACTTTTAATATCACGTATACCTATATTTTTTTAAATATAAATATAGCTATAGATTGCATATTTATTTATGTCCTTTAGAGAATATATCGCCGCATTTCACCGTTTCCACTCACTCCGAATTTAATCGAAAACCGTAAAATTTTTAAGTACGTCTCTGTTTATTACAGTTTATGAATTGTGAGGGTCTTTACAGATCGAAAACGATGCGCAGTCTACTATGCGCATCTTACGATTTCCGCAATTCCGCATATCTGAATTTACTGGTTTACATATGCNTGAATTGTGAGGGTCTTTACAGATCGAAAACGATGCGCAGTCTACTATGCGCATCTTACGATTTCCGCAATTCCGCATATCTGAATTTACTGGTTTACATATGCTGTGGTTCAACAAAACTCGAAGCAAATAATCAAGGATAATGCTTATCTTTTGGTACTTCATCACAATTGATTTTAATGAATTTTTAAATACAGGTTTCGTTTTCTAAAAATCTACTAACTTTTAACAGTTTTAACTAAGACATTTTTTATTCGGTATATGAATGAGCTGTAAACATGATATATTTAAAAAATTTATGGGTGTGGAACATATGTGCAAAAAGGGAAAAACGCCAACGGTAGGTAGGTACATGGAATAAAGTTTATTAGATCTCTTTTTGCTGCATCTTAGACCTTTGATTGAATATTAAGTTAAACAAAAAAATAATTAATAGCGAACTCATATTTATCATGCTGCTTTATCAACTGAATATGTTTTCAGCAGATATGCAGATATGGTCATAATTGACTAAATATAAACGTGTTTTAGAAAAAATTACTATGTCCAAGCAATTTATGAAATATTCTCTTCGGTTTCTGTTTATCGATTTAAATAACTGTCCTGCTAATCTGGAATCAGTTTTACGTAGAAGAAATCACCATTTGGCAGTCGTGGTGAATGGTGACTGTGAAAATGTCACTAATGTGTTAAACGTAGTAAGTATTTTCTTACTTTTAAATAAATTACCTTAAAATTTTAATAATTACTAGATTTGTGAATTCTTTAGATTATTCAAGATAGCAACTATAAAATTAATATAATATTAAGGCACATGATAATATAAAATTATTTTAAAAAATTAGAAGAAAAACGTCACTAAAAATGTTGTCTACCGTTAGCCACTACTTTTTTCCATGTTTTTGGCAGCATTTTAATTCCACGTTGGAAAAATGACATGTCTTTGAGGCCATCCAAAAGTAGACCAATTTTTTGGTATCTTCATAAGAATGGAACGTTGCTCAACCAGGCCATGTATCATCGATCGGCATAAGTGATAATGTATAGGGCGGGGTAGTAGGATTTCCGATTTAAGCAATCGCAGTAGGTTTTCACTAGTTTTTCAACATGTGGCGTTGTAATGCTGCAAAATCACTTTGTCGTGTCTCTGTTCGTATAGATGCCGTTTTTCCTTCAATGCTAGACTCAACCGCATCAGATGTAGTCTCCCGTAATGGTTTTATTCAATTTGACAAATAAACTACACCCAACTGATTTCACCAAAAAATGCAGAGGACCATGGATATTCGGCTTTCCCGACTATGTTAAAGCATGACTCGGAACATACGCTGAACTTCAAGTTTGCTTAGTACTCCTTTCTAGTTACTTACCATCTTAAACTAGCTTGCCACAACTAGCTTGCAGATTTGGTAACGCCATCTGTTGGAAAACAGCGAGAACTTACGGAATATCCCTATGTGAGACATAGACACCTATGTACCTACCTTAATGAGAAATCAAAACTTTGCATATTATGTCTGTATCAATATTAAGTATTCATTAAAGTAACTTTAAGAAAAACTTGTAACTTCTAAGGTCTAGAAAATAACGAAGATAACGGAAAGCATTGGAAATCTTAGAATTTCTCCAGTTTTTTTAAGGATTCGTTGAAATTATTTGATTTCAAATTATGTTCCAAGTAAAAACATCTCCCATTTTATTCGAAAAACGAGTTATTTTCAAGTTATTATTTTAGTTTATCACACAGTTGAATAAACTTGAAATGCGTCTAAACTATTCAATTCACACTTTTTTGTTAAAAATTTCATTTTAAATACAGTGCCACCATCAAAAGTTCAAAAAATTTTTTGTTTACATTTTATTTAGAAACTGTATTTGTTGCAGAAAATTCCTTAAAATATTTTTTTGAAACGAATAAATTATTTTTATAATCAGCTAATTTTATTTTAACAAAATAATAACTAAAAAATGGAAGATCGTTTTTTACGGAAATATAATTAAGAATCCAATAAATTAATCGTATATCCAAAAAACTCATGTAGTGATGTAGAACTGCCTTCAATTAATTAAATTACTAGCCTACATTAATTTACGTAAAATATCTTCACATATAGATAACCTGAAAAAATGTAATACTTTCTGAAAGAACCCCGCACAAAATCATTGGAAAATGGATCCCAGTCGATTCTGCAGAAATTGCAGTATGTTATAGTTTTTAGCTTTCTAATCAAAAGTTGTCATGGGCCCAAAGTGATCCTAGGAATAGTTTCAGAGCTAAAAAGGGGGGAAGTATGTGATTTTGGCTGTAGGCCTGAGTAAGCTTCACGTTTCAAGTTGATAGATTCAAAAACTGAGGCATGTAATGATTTTTGACCAGAGGTACAATGCTTTTGGAATCGCTGAACCTGAATTCGGGGATAGCTTAGCTATCTAAGGTCACCTGGAGATCAGGTAAAAGTCGTTTCAAGGTCAAACTGAAGTAAAGACTTGTATTGAATTTTGACCAGATGTGTATAGGTTTTTGGGCTCGCAGAATCTAAATCTGGAGATAGCGTAACCCTAAAGGTCACCTTCAAGTCAATTCAAGGTAATTTTAAAATCAAACTAAAGAAAAGGCTTGTATTGAATTTCAACCAGTGCGTATTTTTTGGGGGGAGAATGAATTCGGGGATAGCTTAGCCCTACAAGGTCACATTTAGGTCAAGTCAAGATCATTTCAAGATCAAAGTGAAGAAAAGGCCTTTCACGAATGTTAATCTGTAAGTATGTATGCTTTTGAGGTCGCTGAGCCTGAATTCGGGGATATCTTAGCCCTATAAGGTCACCTGGAAATCAAGTCAAGACTATTTTATTTGACTTAATCTCAATTCAAGCCAAGCATGAAACAAATAGAAAGTCGGTCCTAGTCGATTTATCTGAATGTTGAGTATTTTATAATCAACTGATTTTTTACTTGTTCTTGACCATTAATCAAGATCATTGCAAGATCACTGCAGGTCTTGTAGAGTTTTGTACAGGAACCAACATTTCAGTCCAGAAGAATATATCTGTAACACGGTTAATTATATTCTTAATATAATCTGTAAAATTCTACAAGTCTTTTCTTCAGTTTGACCTTAAAACGACCTTTACTTGACCTCCAGGTGACCTTAAATAGCTAAGCTATCCCCGAATTCAGGTTCAGCAATCCCAAAAGCATTGTACCTTCTGGTCAATTCATTATATGCCTCAGTTTTTGAATTCATCAACTTGAAACTTCGTGAAGCTTACTCGGGCCGACATACTTCCCCCTTCTTTATCTCTGAAACTATTCATAGGATCACTTTGGGTCCATGACAACTTTTGATCAGAAAGTCAAAAACTATAACATACTGCAATTTCAGCAAAATCGACTAGGACCAATTTTTCATTGATTTTGTGCGGGGTTATTTGAACATTTTGTATGACAAAGACCAGTAGTTTTAAAGCTTTGATTCATTGAATTTTTTTGGTCAATTACTTACACTAAGAGAGCAAACCCTACACGTTATGATATGGAATTAGATAACACTGTGCATATTAAATAAATAATAATAAATACATTATTGAATAATATCAAAAAGTAATAAAAAATATTACTAATTTCCATAAACATTGTTCAAATTTAGCTTTAGATAAGGAAACTTCCAAGCTTCTTCAGCTGGTATGTAATTATTCTTATTGCTATCTCCAAACACAATAATCTCACAAGGTAAACCAACGTATATTTACAATTAGTTATCAAATTTTAACTTGTTAAATACATATGTGTCCCTAAGTTCAGTGTTATTTGCGACATGACAAAGAATTCATAAATCTGAAGACTTATATTGGTTCTGTCAGCAGACAGTAATAGAAAAATCCAGAATAGTTATACAACTGTATTGTCAATATATCTTCGTTCAATTATTCTTATAAATAGAACGGTCAAAAATGTACTTCTCTGTTTTATAGCAAACAGATAAAAAGTACTTCTATGAAACATTCCACTGGTTAATAGTAGACAATTCTAAAAACGCAATGTTGTTCAAATTAGACAAGGTCAAATTAAATATAAACTCTGAAGTTCATCTGGCTATTTGCGAGAATAGCAGTTGCGTCATTTATGATGTATACAATCCCGCTTCTGAACATGGCGGAAAACTAGTCGCAACGGTACTTGGACATTATAAAACAGACATTGGTTATAAGGCTGAAATGTCCCAAAATAAATATTGGTTAAGAAGAAATATGACTGGAGTAAATTTTAAATCTGCCGTGGTGGTAAAAAATATATAAATATAATTAAAAACTGTGTGTTTTATAACTTTCTTAATTATTTTAGCTTCCACGTTTGGACAAACCCTTAAAGAAATATTTAGAGGATGAAGAAAATAGGCAGATTAATTCTATGCACCGATTTCAGACAGTTTGTGTGAATTATTGCAGGGATTTTTTCAATTTTAGGTAATAGTTTAATTAAGGCATATGTAGGTATAGCGTGTTTTATTGAGGACCGTTGAGGACTAAAAGAAAAGTATCTTCATGAATTTTTAAGATTTAAATAATTTTTCGAAAATCTGGCGAAGGAGCCGGTAATTTCGGTCAAACTTTTATGAAAGGTCACAAATTACTGAACAAATTTTTATGCATTGAAATTTTTATCAAACCAAAAAAAGAACTCTGTTGAGGTCACTGTTTTAACAGGTGTATTTTGATATGATATTTGTTATATCTGTAATTAATTATGTACAGAGCTATTCAAATAATAATATATAATTATCATTTTTGACTATTTTTCCAGGAAAAATTGTTTAAAGACTGTAGTTGAAGGAAATTTTCTTGTGGTCTATAATACATGTATAAAACTATAACTAATATTTGGTGTAGTTCTTTCTATGGGGGAAAGATAAAGTAAACAAAAAAAACAATGTAATAATTTATATGACCAAAAAGAAAGAATATCCAACAAAGTCCATATCATTAATGAAACTTGTTTGCAAAGTATATCATTTGTTTAGAAGAGGATGAAAGTATGTCCATAGGAGTGGTATCTAGGCCAGAATTAGCAAATTACAAACGGATAGGAAGAAATGGGCAGTAAAATCTTTCGAATCACACAAATTGAAAAAAAATCATTTATCTTCAGTAGGGATCTGACTTTCTTGCTTACACTTTTTGATTCTCAATAAAGTTTAGCATTGAGGTACCTCGCCAAAGCTTGGAGATTAATTAAAGTTCCCATTCCCAAACTTGGCAAAATTGGATCTTTGAGATTAATAAGTCTTGTCTCGTATTTAAGAAAAATTGATAGACCTCTATACTAAAAACTTTTATTTACATAGGAATGCCGATAGAAACAGCCCCTCACTGATTGTGGAGAATGCTAAATATATCCTGAAAGCAAAGAGGTCCCTACTTTAGTGGCTTGGGTTAATTAAATTTGTGGTTAAAGAACTATTGTTGTCGAGGGAGGTAAAATATCTTGGAGTAATTTTTGACATCAGGGAGACAGAGAGAGAGAGAAAGACCTCATAATATCATCATACTATCATACGTAAAATCTATAATAACATACCGCTGCTACTGGTTTAGACTAGACTAGTGGACAAATTAACTACGGGGAAAGCTTCTTGCGAAGGAGAAGAAGCCAACACTAAGCAGAAATCCAAGTTCGAGAAGCTGCTCAAGGACCAATTCCCGAAACAAGCCGACTTAAACAAGTCTCGGACCGTCATCAACCTTGCATCCATCCAACTGGATGAAGGCACTACGGAGATACTTGCCAAAGGTCTGAACTTCGCCACAGCCCCCAAGACAATCCCGAAGGAGGAAATTATAAGTTTTCTGGAGATCACTTGCCGACCAGCAGACGTAGCTGAAGAAGTGAGAGCCGACGCAGCACACATTCTACGGACTGCTAAACCTCCCAAACTCAACCTGAACCGGAGGGAGCTTCAAGCCCTTAAAGAGCTTTAGAAGAATGAATCAATAACAATACTGCCTGCCGACAAGGGGAACGCAACAGTCGTACTGAACACCGTTAACTACATCGCCAAGATGGAAAATCTATCGTTGGATCCCATTTACAAGAACATCCGAAACAACACATTGAAGAAAGTTGAGAAGAAAGTAGCCGTTGCAGTCCGATCATCAAACCTACCCAAGGAACTTCACAGGAGTTTGATCCAACCGACTCAAGGACACCTCAGCTGTAATACTTGCTAAAGATTCACAAACCGAATATTCCTCTTCGACCGATAGTGAATGCAGTTGGATTAGCAACACACCCCCTGGCTCGATACGTTGCATAGGAGATAAGAGACATAGTAAGGAGGACAGAGCATCACGTCAAAAGCGCCGGAGACTTTATCGACAGGATTCGAGGAATTGAACTTCAACCAGGAGATATCTTGGTGAGCTTCGATGTTACATCCTTATTTATGAAAGTACCCGTCGACAAAGCCTTGGAGGAGCCGCATCGAAGACTAACGCAGAGAACATGGATGAGAGCCTAATGGATTTGGTAAAAATGTGCATAAAATCGACCTTCCTTACATTCCGGGACCAATTTTACGAACAGACGGAGGTATCAGCAATAGGTTCACCGTTATCTCCAATCCTGGCCAATATATACATGGAAGCCTTTGAAAAGAAAGCCCTGGAATCCACAACGTTGAAGCCTAAGTGCAGGACCGATATGTTGACGACACCTTCATCATCTGGCCCCACGGATGCAACACCGTAGATCACATCAATGGGATCATCCATATATCCAATACTATAGAAGTAGAAAAAAACTCAGCCCCTCCCTTCTTGGATGTTTTGGTTGGGGGAGGAAACTAGATGGCACTTTAGGACATCGAGTATATAGGAAGCCAACTCACACAGACAGACATCTGAATGAAGAGTTCCAGCACCAACCAGCCCAGAAACAGGGGATCATAAATACCTTGATTCATCGAGAGGGGATAATCAGCGAGACAAGACATTTGGCCGAGGAACTAGGTTTAGCAAGCGGTATTCTAAAGGTAAAGGGATTACCTTTTAAGTAAAGGTAAAGGAATTACTTTTTTTATAAATTAAGTGGTCCAAAAAATATTTAAAACCAAACATTTGTGTATTTCAGTCTAAAACTTTAATAAATTATCCAACATTTAATGTATACTTTAATAAAAATATTTTTTTAAATGTACATGAACGAAAACGGACAAATTAATTTGATATAACACTGTTAGAAACTAAATTTAAAAACACTCTTCGAGTGCCAATCACTCAAGATATAATAGGTCAAATAAATTTTACCAAAATGGAAATTGAAGATTTTTTAATCTCCTTTCTGAAAAAAATTGTATTTTTAACAGTCAGATGAGTAAAAATAGTGGCATTCGAAAAAGTCGAAAAAAAAATGAAAAAACCGAGGTTTAAACGTTCCCTGAGAGTAGCCTAATAATTCGAGCGCATTTTCGATATTTTTCCCTAAAAGGTAATCCCTTTACCTTTAGAATACTGCTTGCTAAACCTTTTTATCTTTTTTCTATTCAGAGATCTATGATTTTGACACTAAAGTAGTTCCAATCGTTCATAGTGCGACGTATCTACCTTACGTGAAAGATTGTACAGATAAAATCGGTTTTTTGAAGAAGAGGAATATCAACACAGTATTCAGCACTATAAAGAAGGTGGCGGCAGCGTTTCCAAAGACCTGCAACAACGACCAGCCCCAGGGCCCCGGTGTGTACAGTATTTCTTGCTCTGGCGGAAAGGTCTACATAGGACAAACAGGAAGGCACATCAATACGAGGCTAAAGGAACACAAAAGTCACCTCAAAAATAACAACTGGGAAAAATCGGCAGTAGCAGAGCATAGGGCGGACACGGGACACACAGTGAATCTGAGTGAAGCCAACATGGTGGTGAGAGAGAGAATATTTTGGACCCGACTATAAAGAGAAGCATGAGAAATTTACAAAAATCCGAACAATTTCAACAGGGATGGTGGCATGGATCTGCCAGGTATATGGAAGAGAGTCATTCTTGAAAGCAACCCACTGGAACGTCAACAACGCGTACGAAGTCACCCACGAGAACGTCATGGATCAGTGACCACATCAAATATAAATAGTGACAAGATTAGTAGATCACCAGTTTCAGAGTAACGTCTGAAGAAGAGAGCGATATGTCTCTCGAAACATCAAGAATTGTAAATCGACGACGTGGCAACCAGCCCGGATATCATTCAACCAAAATTCAAAGACATTTTCAAGCTCTCGCATGCACACAAATTTAATGTTAATGTTAATTATCATTTCTTGTATTAAAACGTAAATATTGACAATTGGTATCAACCAAATTTTTGTAATAAAATAGAGAGACAATATGTATTTGTTAAATATACCTACAAATGTAGGTAACTATGTATTTAACAAATTATACCATTACTGTATAGAGTTGGTAACGATTGTTTTTCCTATAATGCTCTTTTAGTTTGGAGATTCAGAGAACTAATTCTTGGGGTTACATACAGAGTGACGGCCATTTTGACGGCTTAGTAAGTTTATTGGAAAGAAGAATTGTGGACTTTGGCAGTTCACCGCTGATTTTTAAATTAGACAGGTTGCCTGTTATAGACTACAGTTTTGGGAATTGGATTTTAAGGTACTCATCCCATGTACAATGAAATTGAAAACAACTTACCAAAATCATTTTGTAGATCCACTTTCATATATCGTCGACCAGACGTTGTTGCTGAGTATTATGAAATTTTCTTACGACCTCTGTCGAAATGGGTTTGGATATGCGTTCTCATCGCTATGATTGTTATTGTTATTGCTTTAAAAATAGTATTGTCAAATGAATCGTCAATTGGTAATAATGTAGAAAAACTAGATTCTTCTTGGAGTTTCCTTTGGTTGTACACTTTTGGAGCTTTTTGTCAGCAAGGTATGTTTACAATGTGTTGCTACATTTCACCGACAAAATTGTACAGTAATTCTTTTACGAAAAATAAAAAAATGGTTAACAAATACTCAATTTGATGTAGAGTAATAGTTTAATTATTTTTTTAGATATTTTCATTTGGTTTGCACATTTTGTAGCAGATTGGTATTTGATGAATATTAATCAAACAGTTAAAAATCAAAAAGTTGATATATCTAAGGATAAAACAGTGGATTTGCTTTTCCCAAAAGATGGTTAAACAATCTTTGCCATTATGTTCTGACAAAAATACAGGCTGTTACAAATTCGCTTCTCGCTACAGGGATCTCGGAAACAGTAAGAGTTACGAAGTAGCTTAAATGGGGGCAAAGTTGCATAATCAGGGGACCAACATTATGCTTCTAAAAAATCAAGGCTAACATGATTAGTTTTCGAAATATTTGAAAAAAACCGGAAATTTTGGAAATCCGTTTTTGTTTCATTTCAGCCTTATTTGAGGCGACATTGAAAAAAGAAGAACACTTTGTCATAGCAATTTTTTGTCCTTTATCGAATGGCATAATCAATTTTTATATGTAACGTTTCGCCTCTCCAGGACCATCATCAACTTCATTTTTTTAAATACGACCCTGGAATTTTTATTTAATATTTTGCAAGCCTTCACGGCCCCCAATACTGTATTGCTCCAGCTTGAACCAGATTCAGACGCTTTGTCTCGAAAAAATCATCTTCAATGTATTCGTCCCAAATTTATCTAAATTTTTTATTTAGATTTCTACGTTTATTGATTTATCAAAGTGTCGTTAAACCCTGTGAAATCCACCTAGTCATTTAAACTATTACCATAACACGTTACAATAAAACATTATTATATAATTTTAATCTTCATCACCTGGTCATACATAATAATGTTGCGACAAAATTAAAACATTATTACAATTTTAATTTCATTATGACAAATTAATTCTTAAAAATGCACATGAACAACAAAATGACTCCAAATGAATATTATACTTTAAAGAATTATTACAGTAAATGTTCGAAAACGTTCCCGTTTTGGCAAATGTTGAAAATGAAGATAAGCATAAAATGAGCGGAATTTATTATACCTGTAACCGCAACTGTGAAAGAGCATGTCAGATGTATTTGTATGAATATCCTGAAAAAAATTAGATCGAAATTAGTTTGAATTTTGAGCACTCGAGAAATCTAGAACTAACTATGAGCACGGGATTAAAACTCTAATAATGTTTTATTGTAAAGTGTGATGGAAATAGTTTAAATAACTATCCACCTAGTTAGACAGGGTCTAAGGACACTTAGAGTGTACGATAATTCAAGAAACATAGAAATCTAAAAAAAATAGAATTTGGAACGAATACATTTATGATGAATTTTTCGAGACAAAACCTCTGAATCTGGTTCGGGCTGAGGCAGTACAGTATTGGGGGTCATGAAGGCTTGCAAAAAATGTAATAAAATTTCTAGGGTCATATTTAAAAAAATGAAGTTAATGATGGTCCTAGAGAGAAACGTTACATATAAAAATTGATTATGCCATTCGATAGAGGACAAAAAGTTGCCATGAAAAAGGGTTCTTCTTTTTTCAATATCACCTCAGATAAGGCTGAAATGAAACAAAAACGAATTGCCAAAATTTCGTTTTTTTTTCAAATATTTCGAAAATGGATCATGTTGGCATTGATTTTTCAGAGGCATAATGCTGGTCCCCTGATTATGCAACTTTGCCCCCATTTAAGCTACTTCGTATCTCTTACCGTTTCCGAGGTCCCTGTAGTGAGAAGCGAATTTGTAACAGCCTTTATAATCAATATAATTGATATGAGTTGAGTGCAATAAAATTGCGATCCATTATATTTGTTCAGAAAAGAATTATATTGTTAATTTTAACACCCTATGTCTCAAAAACATTTTTAATTCTTCTATGGATTTTTGAATTTTCGTTGCTAAAATTCAGAATACCTTGTAGATTGATTAGTAGTTGTTTTTTTACCAAATCTTAAATTATTTCCTTATCATTATACAAAAAAAAGTTATGTTCAAATATTGTTTAATTTACACCTGTGAACGGTATACTATAAAGTAGATTTACAGATTTAAGAGAATGACTACTTGTGTCGACCCGAGTTCAATTTCCATCTATCACAAAATTCAGGGCCTGTGCTAGCTGGAAAAATACATTTTGATAGACTCATTATTAACATAGGAAACGGTCATGGTAGTGAAATTGAATTAAATAAACTTTCATATTTATCATACTTATTAAACATGATGGTTCTATTATGAAATTAATTGTAATTAATGTATTATTATGTATTTTTGTTTCATTAATTGTGGCATTAACTTAGTTCTTTTATTATAGACACGATACATATAGTAGGTATATGTATAATTCCTAACAATACTAGCTAAACAAAAATAAATTGTCAAATCTATGAATGTACCTATTTTACAAATTTCAATACTTCCATTTTCGTATTTGTCTAAACCAAACAATCAAAAATCAAAGCAGGATGATATTTGGTACATTATTTTTGCATGTTTTACAAAAATTAATATAAAAAAATGATTAAGGTACATATTTATACTTGTATTGAAATTTTTTTTAGGTGCAACATTTTATCCGAAATTTTTCAGCAGCAGGATACTCTCTATATTCGTCTATCTGTTTTGTATCTTGATCTATCAGTTCTATTCAGCCGGCATCGTTTCGTATTTGCTGATGGATCCGCCTCGAATCATCAATAATTTGGAAGACCTTACCGAGAGTCAGTTGCGTGTTGGAATTGAGGACATTCTGATTGACAGGAATTACTTTGTGGTAAGGACTAAAACTTCTAAAGTGAACTAACATGATTAGGTAATGTTTATAAGTCTATAATTAAGCATAAATATCTACTTCTTTATTTAACTAGATAAATGGGGCAGTTTTATTGACAAGAAAATTTTAATAATTATATATAGTATGTTTCGGAAATAAGTGTATATATTTAGGAATTATTCAAGACAGTTTTTCGAAATGTCAATATTATCGAGTTACATTACCCGAGAATTATTATCTTTAATTATGTTTTACTTTCTTTCAGATGAACGATTTTTCTTAAATTGGTACACGTATTTGAGATTTCAATTTCCGATGGTACTAATTAATTATTTGATATTTATAAAACGTATTTATTATAATTTTATAACCATCGCATTATTAAACGTATTTCTATTTTTTTATTAGTACTGAAATTAATTGAGAAGCAAACTTGCAAAACGCGGTTTGTCCAAAATTGTAAATTTTCAGGAATGGCAAAAATCTGGTGCTTGGAAACGATCTTAATGAGTTACGATTTGTTGTAAATAGTCAAGAAAAAATAAATGAGTAATTACTAGATTTGCAGACTCCAGTCGAAAATAACTTTATTATTTAAAAAAAAGAGGTGGACAAAATGCTATTTGCATGTCTCTAGTGGACAAAGAATGTTTTGATTGTCGCTCAAACAGATTTTTGGGTATAATAATCTAAAAAAGTCAAACAAAAACATGTTCTCAATAAACAGTACCTTTATTTTTATTTTTTATAAACTTTAAGTAAAATTAACTTTTCCCATGTCGATATACCCACATTTTTCATTTTCTTCAACAACTGTTTCTTTATCTTCATAGTACTCTGCAAAAATTGGAACCAAACCATTCCAACTCTGGATCATTGTTCCAGTTTTCTCCAGACAACAATTTCACTAATTTATTCAAACAACAACTTTTTTCTTTATCTTATGACCCAGAGGTAGCCCCGGTAAATCTACTTGGTTAAATCGTGAAAGTTGCTATACATATTTTTAGTAATATCTGCATCCAAATTTAGAATACGGCCAAAAATCAAGTAAAACCGGTTCAAGTTTTCCTTTCCTGCTACGTACCTACACTGGTATTTGAACGTAAAGGAGGGAAAATGTATCTCCTTAGAAAGAAACGTAGGGCTTTCCTCTATAAATAAGAAAGTATATGTAGCTAGAAAATTAAGACAAAAATTAAGTTTCATTAAACCAACCCTTGGCACATCCTTTCGGCAGAAGGGTTTATCGGATAATTTTTTTTAAATGTTTTCAGAAGCAAATAAACAGAAAAACTAAAACTGCGTCACAAATAAATAACTTTAAATAACAATACACTAAAGAATTCATTATGGCTTGTGGCTACCAAAACTTAATGTATCGAATCGAAAAATTAATTAGATCTCCTAAATCTTTGGACCTCTAAAAGAGATGTCTTTGAATTTCCACATTTTGATCCATATGCATCAAAGAAGTCTTTATGTTAATAGAGTTTAATACAGAGATATTTTCAGCAAACTACTGATCCAAACGCTATCGCATTATTCGAAAGGAAGATTAAAGGCTCTTCAAACGATTCGGGGTTCTACTCGCCCATTGAGGGTCTGGAGATGGTCAGAGAAGGAGGGTTTGCTTTTCATGTGGAGACAAGCACGGCCTATCCTATAATAGAAGCGACGTTTACCAATGAGCTTATCTGCGAGTTACAAGAGGTGCAAATGTACCGGACGCAACCTATGCACACGAATTTGCAAAAGAACTCGCCTTTCAAAGAGATGCTGAACTATTGGTGGGTGATCCTGCGATTCTTATGATATTGCAAAGATTGAGATATTTATGTTTTCACGACAAACTAAAAATAAAACACCCACACACACAGGTGAATAGATATAACAAAATGTCAGCTGTTCGAAACATATTTTTTTCTTTTAAAACAGTTGGGTTATTTATTTAGCGTGTATCAATTTCTCACGCTAATGCCTGTCCTACCGGCGTGCAAGTGAACAATCCTGTTTTTTTGCCGAGCGACGTTGGGCGCGTATTTCATTGTCGTTTGTGCGTGTGTGAGTTTGACGCTTTTCTTGGTCGAGTGTATGGCACGTGTTTTTATGGCAGTCAGTAACGTTGTGTGTTGTAAGCATAGAGCGTCACAAGGCTTGACCACAGAAATATGTCTAGTGAAAAAGAGGTAGGTTTAATATCACCAAATTAACTAATGTTTTATTTACAGCATGTTTAAATTATCCGAAAATGGAAATATGGATCGACTAAGGAAGCACTGGGATGCTCGAAAACCGACTTGTATCGAATCCGCAAAGAAAACTGTAATCCATGTTAGCCTGAAGGAGTTTTCTTGTGGATTGATATCTTTGCTGTACGGAATATGCTTTGCGCTGCTATTTCTTCTCATGGAAATAGTTATTTACAAACGATATGCTCTTGCCAACATGGTTAAGGTTAAAATTGGGTTAAGACCGTCGTACCCATATATAAACTAGTTAACTAAAGTAGTACTTACACTCACATTAAGCCAGTCGTATACCGAAATCTGTGCCATGCTAAATTTATGAATGTTATGACAGACCTGTGTGCGTTGCTAGAAAATAATAATAGTTTTTCACATTTTATATTCCTATAATGTTCCCAAAATTCTTGAATTTTAAATTATATTGATTTTTTAATTAACAAATAATTTTCTAAAATATGTAATTAACACATCTGTTAAAGTTTAATTCATTATTTGTATAACCTATTGTGTAGTGAATGTGTAGTGAATAAAAATTAAAATACAGTTGTATCTATAATAAAAAAATTTATGTAAAAAATTGTAGATATCTCCTTATTTTCTAAAGAAAATTAAACCTCAATTATACAATAGAAAAGTAGGCAATATTACGTTCATGAACTGAATTTAATTTTCTACACAAGTCAGCGTTAACAGAAGGCGAGGATTATTCTCCTTTACATGGATTATTCATGCGAAAAAATATTTATCGTAAAGCGGGGTTTTTAATAGTTTTACGACGCTAACAATTTTACTGTTAATTCCAATATTCTGTATTTTGAATATGTGAAATTCTCTTCTTTAATCTACGAATTTAGGAATGATATTAACTATTACAGCATTTCGAAGAAATTAATTTTTTTTATTAAAAATTTGTTAAAGTTACCGTGAATAGAGGGTTACTTTACAAACAGCTCTAAAATTGATGTTTTAGCCATCTTACCCACTTTATACAGATGCTTTGCCATACAAAACTGTATTTTAAAAAAGTTTTCAGCGATATGTTTTCAAAATATGTCAACTATTTTGGGAAAATAAACATTTAATTTCTAAACAATTAACGAAAATATAACTGTTTTATTTTACCTCAATTATTTATTTTTATTAGAATGAATTTATTTTTGTCTCATAAATTTTACTGTAAGAAAGTCATCGGAGTAGTCAATTATATAACCAACAAAATGTTTGATCTTCGTATGAAACATAACAACTACATATTTTCCACTTTAGCATGCGATAAATTTTCCTTGTCACTGTTTGTATCCTTTTAAGGGGGCTCCCAAAAGGCTTGTGCGCCTCCTTCGTGACGTCACCCTCAGGAGGAATGTATGGCTCTGAGACCTAAGTTCTCCTCCATAGATGTTGGATGCTAGAGAAGAGTCCACAATCTAATTTTTTAATCTAGATACAGATACACTTCACTTGCTTTTAGTTCAAGAAGGGTTTCAACTAACCCCCGTATATGTTCGAGAGAAGTTCGAGGGTTTCGACTTTCCCTGTACTTATAGTGTTTTGCACTGATTCTATGAATTCTTAGGATTTCTTGAAATGTTTTTTCCTTTGTACAATTTGTATTACAATCGTTTCGGATTTTATCCTATCTTCAGATAATAACATCACAACCCTGGATTATAAAATCTTTTCTTATGTAACAATTAAAATAATTGGTCATTAATATTGTTTAACATATTATGTTAGACATAATTTAATATAATTAATTTTCTTATTTTTCCATTATATTGATAAAACAATATATAGAAATTAACAACGTCAGAATGTGAATTGAAATCAATTTCAATTGTTACATAAGAAAAATTTCATTCATGTCGTTATAGTCAAATTGATGAGCAGTATCATCAACATATTCCTGATAATACTCGTATTCATTGAAATGAGCGGTATCATCTTCATAATTTTCTTGATGGTATTTGATAAAGTGTATTATCGTTTTGATAAACAGTATTATCATTATAGGTTTCGTTAATATGATGTGTCCTTTGTTGGTTAAAATTTGGGTTTCGTTGAATTGCTGTGGGTCTTTGTTGATTAAAATTTGGATTGGGTCTCATTGTTAGAGGTCTAATTTGGGGATTGTTTTGTTGAGGGTTTATTTGTGGTCTTGGATGGAATGCTGAATTTTGATTTTGTTGAAAATGTGGTCATACCATGCTTTGATTTGAAAACCGTGGGTTTGCAAAGTTTGGATTTTGAAAATTTGGACTTGGGGTGAATCTAGTTTGTTGGTTTATGCGGCATTCATTTATTAAATGACCTTGTCTCTTGCAAAACGTCCCCTTATTTTGAGCGTTTACTTGCGGTTTTTCATCTGATATGCGATATTAGGTTTGCGGAATTTTTAAGATTCAAAATATGACAGTTGCAATTCTCTTTTTATTCTGGATATTGCTTGTAACATATCTTGCGCATTACTAGCACGAATGATAGAACCTAATTTTGGATCTAAACCCGTGAGTAAGGTGTTTAATGTCATTGTTTCGATTAAGTTAGATTGAGCTAATTTTTGATCTGCGGTTAATTGTTGTTTTTGAATCGCGGCATGCATTTTTGCATTGTGAGTTTGTAATCTGGAAACAAAATTTAAAGCTGAATCATTTTGATTTTGTGAAATTCCCTGTAAGTCTTATATTAACGAGGTCAAATCTCTAGAATCTCCAAAATATGATTCTAGAAGAATTTTGATTTCTTGCCATGTATTTGGCTTTCTTGAACGGTTGAACAAGGGGACGACGACCAGTGAGGGTGACTTGCATGTTCTGGTGGTGATCTTTGTTTTTGAGTTTCTTTCTTGAGTTTCTTGGGTTTTCTTGTGTTTCTTGATTTTTCTTCGTTGGGATTCGTTTTTCATCAAGGAATTGAAATTCGCCGTTGTCAGTGACGAAAGCCCGTGTTCTGACGACGTGCGAAAGATTTTCATGTATTCATGTATATGATTCGAGATTATACAAAATAATTTCATCGAACATTACTGACGTAAACGTAAAAAGGTCGAGTACATACTCTGGGCAGGCATCCGTCTCCTGCTTAAAGAAGCGCAAATGCGCAGAGTCGACGTTCGGGCGTCCATTCAGGTCAGCTTCCAAAACCATGGTGGCAAATCGCGATCTTGATTTATGGCCTCTACGGAATGTGGAATTTTCCTGGATCGTCTCAAATAATGGAGGACAAGGTGTTGTGCAGATTAGTTCCGAATTTCGTAATGAAATGTTTGGAATTTCCGAATTCAGATCTAATTTTCGACCTCGACACGTAAATCGAACCGTCGGGGTTGAGGGTTGCTACGGTTTGAGGCGCGTGGAACAGTTTTTGGGCGCGGCGATGGGAAAATTGACAAAACATCGGTGGAAAGTTCGCGTTATTTTGACAGTCTCGGGTGGCGGCATTGGTTTGGGGCGATGGCGGCCAAGTCGGATGGAGCATTTTGTGCTGCTTGGAGCGGATTTGAACGCGACGCGGAAAATTTGGAAAGTGAAGTGATTTTTTGATAGAAGGTGCTTTAAGTGCTTTTTTCAGTATTTCCGGTCCGAAGTGGGATGAATTTTGGGCGAAACCGGAAATAACTTGCTTAGACGTGTTTACGTAATCTCCGCAGGTGCATGCGTCATATAAGTGTGCGGATTTTTCTAGTGCCATTGAATTGTAATTTAGTTTTTACTGCCTCTATTTATACGGTTTAACAACAGCAATATAAGTTATTGATTTTATGGCATTAATAAAATATGAAGGTTTGAGTATTTCTAAATTAAAATTGAAACAAAATATTTCCATTCCTAAAAACTGAAATGAATTGATAATTCCTCAATTTTGAGTTCTAATAAATCTTATCTGTTAAAGATAATAAGAAAAATGTTGCCCCATCTTTTGTTGAAATTTTTATAATTAATTGCATAGCATGAACTGTATGACAAACAAGGTGATATGATAATTTTTAAATATTGCTCTTGAAATCATGCCGACCTGATTTGACAATGATGAGAGCACCCACTCAAACGTAGGAAAAACAATATTATTGATAAATATCTTCAATTTTACGAGAAAAATACTTGTGTTTAAATTATATAAACTAGTAATATTCTCGAAGTAACCACACACCAGCCATCTACGAAACATGAGGGTTCTATTCGTTTTGGTTTTTAGCTGCTTGTTGGCAACATGGTGAGTAAAAGTAACATACAATTTTTATATTATTAAATGAACGAATCATATTTATACTTTTCGGTACAGCTTTGCAGATGACCTCGACGATTATGAAATCAACAACAACACATTTTCAGAGGATTTCTTATTCGGAACGGCAACCTCAGCATATCAAGTAGAAGGTGAGAACTCTTAAGCTTAGTACACATTAGAGTTCATTTTTAAAAGCACATTGTATAGGTGTAAAGTAGCCACAAGTCTCGGAACAAGACGCAGCTTGTTTCATGAAGAATCTATTTTTTACTATATTTTTGATACTGTTTCATTGCTTTTTTATTAAATTATCAAATGGAATCCTTTTTCCAATAGGAGCTTGGGATGAGGATGGCAAAGGCGAGAACATTTGGGACCGATTGACGCATACTACCGAACTAATTAAAGACAAAAGCACTGGAGACATTGCCTGTGACTCTTACCACAAGTACAAGGAAGATGTAGCTCTGCTGAAAGATTTAGGAGTGTCCCATTATAGGTTCTCTCTATCATGGTCTAGAATTTTGCCAACAGGTAAGTGCTCTCAAATCATGATCAAGGTCGTGATATGATCTTTGATTGTACTATTTTGGTTCGGATTGCAAAGTACAAATTAAATAGTAACGGATAGAAGATAAAATGGATATCTCGTGTTCTTTTCCAGTTTTCTTAGTATAGAAGACATTGGTGTTTCAAAAAAATGTCACTGAAATTTGTTGTTTCTTCTTTTTTCATTATTATTCCGGCTATGTTATACAGTCTACACAAATATATATTCATAAAAAGCCAGTATTCTTTAAAATAATGCGATATAAGAAGTGACACTAAACCAAGAATGTTGATTAAAAAAGGGGACCCAAATTATTAAGGCTGACGGAAAAATTTAACATGCATCTCAACTAAAATCTCTAAATTTTCGTCTACAGAAGTACAGCTTTTTGGTACAAGTACAATCATTGTATTTATTTAAGGACACCTTCTTACGACACTAGGTTTACCGAGTGTTTCTCCTATAAATATTTGAGCAAATACGTACATCATAACATATTTTATTTTCTATGATACTCAATTAGTGCTATGTTTTAAGTAGGTACCTATCAAGTATATCTAGAGAATCTAAGTATTTTTGTCAGTAATGTCGTAATAGGTACTATCAGTAACAAATAGATAAATACGTAAAGATATTATCTTTAAATAAATAAGTTTCTATATATGCCATAAGTAAGAGAATGCTATGTAAGTGTATAAAAACTGTTACACTCCTCGAAGTATTTATTCTGTTAAAATACGTATTTTTATGTAAATCATTTTAAATAATTCGTTTAATATCTTCATTTAAGATTTCATTTTTATTATATTAGTATATTTGTGTCCACATACAGGGTCGGAAAGTCCCCATGGTTCATCGGCCGTTACGTGAGATCGATAAAGTAAGTCATAGAAGTCTACTTCTTATTTGTGGAAGGGCGAAATGGGCGGTGACTATTAGACGCCTTCATTATAGCCAACTTTCTCTATCGCACGGATTTCTATGACTTTCTTTATCGCTCTCACGTAACGGCCGACGAACCATGGGGACTTTCCGACCCTGTAGGTAAATATCAACGAATTTTTTTTATAAAGTTTTTGTTTAGTTTAAATTTGCATCGGAAAAATGGTTTTTATGTACCTCCTCGTATTTTCAGAAACTCTTTCAGGAATTTTTATTTTTAATTTTTTAACCATTGGTTTAGTAAAAAACTGAACAACACAACATCTATATATTTTTATTTGATAAATTATTTTCCTGAAACACAAGAAATTAAAAAAAATAATAATTTCAGAGGATACTCTGATTACTCTAAGAAATCAGAATTACTAACATCAATACAGGGCATTAATACATTACAGGCCAAAACAGGTTAGAAATCTCCCATATTTATGGCATCGAATTACATATTTTTGAATTGTAAGCTTTTATTAACAAGCAATAACAAATGACAATAAACAAAAAAGATTTCTATATACATGTATCCAGAAACATTATGTTGTCGTTATACAGTTTGACAAAAAAATATCCGTTTTTAATTCGTTCAAAGGCATGCAGATTTTTTGCATGTGGCTAATAAATAATAAAATAAGAAAATGTTAGACCACGTCTAAGTAATTTTGGAAAAAATATTAAAGCATTAAATTGTTTTTTAAATAACTATATTAATTAAATAAATTACATATTTTCATTAATTATGAACGTTTCCGGACACACGTCTATAGGAACTATTAAATACATTCAAGTTATACCTTGTACATACTAGTCACTTACATTTTTCAAGAGATAAAAAGAATTCAATATTTATTTTACCAAGCCAAGTAAGTTTCTTGCCATCCATCTTTTTTGCACCCATTTACAAAAATGAGTTATCAACAGTGGCGTAAGCAGAATGTAAAGTTGAGGGGGGCTAAAAAAATTCAAAAAATTTGCAGTAAAACGGTTTTAAAATGAAAATATTAGTTTAATAGTTATAAAAGTTGTTCATATTTATAATATATTGTTTTTTTTTATAGAATATAAACGGTTTTATATTTGGTAACTTCAAATTAATGTGTAGATATAAAAAAAAACTTTGTATCACATAAAAAAGGAACTAAACATTTTCAGACTCTATCATAAAAAATATCTCAAAAATCACAACAGAAAATAGCCAAAATCAAAATGCATAACCACAAAAGATGTACACACTCTTAGCTCAACACAAATTATGACAGACCGCGATGCGTTTATCATGCATTTATCAAGTACGCGATGCGATCGGCCCACCCTGTGACGTAGAAAGTCAGGCAACCTGTCCCTTTAGGAACTTGACTGTTGCCGAGGTCCATCCGTGCGCCATGCGGCCGGCGCTAGTGGCTACGGCTATGATAAAAATCGCGTGACAGATCTTTGAGGGGGGCTAAAGCCTCCAAAACCCCCCCTGGTTACGCCACTGGTTATCAATAAATAAAATTAAGTACAGATTTGGTACTGATACTTCAATTGGCTTAGAAGATATTTACATATATTGTCGGCAGGTCATTTTCAAGCTACTGTATAAGGTTAATCAAACTCATCTTGTACGCAGTAGAAGCGTCAAAGAAGAAACAGAGAATGAGATCCGGTGCTAGCCTGGTATCTGAAACTCACGGAGAGGATGAATCTCTGTAATGTATCGGAATTGAGCTCTAGTTCCATTAAACTCTTTGTATTAATTTTGGCTAAGAAACATACTCTAGTAGTTTGACAATCAAATTAAAAGGTTGCTTGTATAATAAAAATTTATTTACCTACAAAATATTTAGGAAAACTTACCTAACAAATGGTTGTTAATTAGACCAATAAAATGTTCTTTAATAGCAGATTTTAAAATATGTATTTAAAATTCTGTTACTAATCAAAATATTTGAGTTTACTTCAATTTATTGTACATAGGTGAAAATGTTTAAATACTTTTTTATACGACTGCCTTGCAAAAGGGGGTTTTGCGCACGGAAAACACGCTCTGAAAACGGTATTTTGCACACGCCGTGTGCTAAACATTTTGCACACGGTTATGTCATCTTTGCACAGGCGTCTCCAGATTATGATTTTTGTTTGATGTTGTCACCCAAATTATGCAATGTTTCAAGTTGGCTGAGTTTCATAGCAACCGTCACGGCTCCTTTATTTTGTTGATTAGATACTTCAAAAATTGTTGAATTCCCGAAGTTTGGGTGTGAAAATGTGTGATTCTGAAGAGATTTTACAGAAAGCAAGCGAAATATGTTCGGAACTGCTGCCCACAAAATCCAGAAGCAGGTATGAAGCTGAGTTAAGCCGATTTATGGACTGGCGACTAGCCAAAAATGTCCAAACTTTCTCAGAAAACGCAGTAATGGTGTATTTTGAAGAACTATCTAAGAAATATAAATCTTCGACGTTGTGGACGATTTTTTCGATGCTCAAGTCAACGTTAAGTGCCAATCACAACATAGATCTTGGAAGCTATAAAAAGTTGCAAGCGCTAATCAAACGAAAATCCGAAAACTACGTCCCAAAGAAGTCCCAAATCCTCACAGAAGATGATTTTTGCCGGTTTTTGACGAAAGCATCAGACGACAAATATTTACTTATCAAGGCGGTGGTGGCAGTTGGACTATCTGGGGCATGTCGAAGGGAGGAATTATGTTATCTCAAAATAGAAGACACCAAAGATTTCGGCAGTGCTATGCTGATTAAACTGAAGAATACAAAAACAAAGGTACCAAGGTGTTTTACAATTACAGGAAACCTTTACACTATCTTAAAAAAGTACTGTGCTCTTCGTCCTCCTAATCTGAAGACAGGCAGGTTTTTTTTAAACTATCAAAACGGAAAATGTTCAAGCCAAAACGTTGGCATCAACAAAATTGGAAACATGGCTAGGGAAATCGCCAAGTTTTTGATGCTAGAGAATCCAGAAAGTTACACGGGACATTGTTTTCGGCGTTCATCGGCCACAATTTTAGTCAATTCTGGCTCAAATCTGCTTGCCCTCAAACGCCATGGAGGGTGGAAATCCAGTACAGTTGCCGAAGGCTACGTTGATGACTGTTTGAGAAATAAAATGGAAGTTTCGAAAAAGATAGAGTCTTCAGTGTCTTCTGCTGCCACAGAACCAGAACAACGATCGTCTACTGGAATACAACAAGAAAACAACGACCGCACGCTGAAAAACTGCACTAAAAACACGACACCAAAAATATTCTCTATTACCGAAAACAAGGTGCACAATAATACTGCTTTTCCCAGCGTAACCTTGAAGGAATGTTCAAATGTTACCATAAATATTAAATATTAGTTTCTTTTGTTAATGCGTTAGCAATTTTCTTAATAAAAACGAGTTAAATTAAAAGTTGTATTTAATTTATTTTGTTAATGCGTTGGCAATTTTAGTAATAAAAACGATTTAAATTAAAATTTGATTTTTGTGGTCTCTGTTTGCAGTCGTATAAAAAGTATCGTAAAAAACTCGTTTGAAAACCTCTTTGCACACTCGCTCGACTTGTGGACCTCGCCTTCGGCTCGGTCCACCAATATGTCTCGCTCGTGTGCAAAGAGTCGTTTTCAAACCTTGTTGTTTAATATATTATTATTACAGGTTTTGCAAACAAGGTAAACACTGCCGGAGTGACTTATTACAAGAACCTCATAAAGGAGTTAAAGGATAACGATATCGAACCCTTCGTGACTATTTTCCACTGGGATACTCCTCAGCCAATTCATGATGCTGGCGGCTGGACCAGCGAATTCGTCGTGGATTGGTTCGCCGACTACGCAAGAGTCGTCTTTGAGTTGTTCGGCGAAGACGTCAAATACTGGCTCACATTCAACGAACCCAAACAGACTTGCCACGAAGGCTATGGATCAGCGAAGAAGGCACCCGCCATTTCGTCTCCAGGAGTAGGAGAATACCTTTGCACGCACAACCTGCTCAAAGCACACGCCAGAGCCTGGCACATTTACGACGAAGAGTTTAGGTCCACCCAAAATGGTGAGTCATTTATATTTTTCATAAAAATAATATAAACGACCAGTAGCTGACATTCTTCCAAAGCGCAAAAAGTTCAGGATTTTTGGGAAAGTCTTGGAAAACAGCATTTGATTCCTCAATCTCCTCCAACCTGTTTTATTCCAACTTAAGATTCTAAAAAAAAATCGGGTAGTAAGATATTGATACATTATCTCAGTTTACACAGAAATAGTAATTTCTAACTCAACAGTTCAAGTAAATAATCTCGCGCGCGACGAGAGCGATGTTCACGCGCATGTGCGCGCCCGGATTCCTTCTCTCACACGCAGGCCGTTCATTAGCGTTACTGCTGCTAGCGCGTTTATTACATGAACTAGGTATCAATATAAAACTTCCTGAAAATAAAAGTTTAACCCTTTCTTTAATCGTCTCTAAAATCCCAGTCCGATACATCCAATAGTTAATTAACAATTATCGTTACAATAAAGAGGTGTAGGTGGTTTCTTTTTTTTAATGACCGTAAAAATAAGCTAAATTTAATGCAAAAAGAGCGAATTCCCGAGCGGCTTTTGCCTGACCTGGGACAATTTGTATATAACGCTGTTTTGCACGACCTAACTTTGTTACTTGTAAAGGGCTACTTAATTTCAACTTTTTGAAATATTTCTTTTTCAATACGTTCCTTTGGATCAATTAAAACCTATATCTACGTTATTAAATTCTAAAATTAACGTTTAAAACAAATAGTTGCAAAGAACGAACGAAATTATTTAACAAATACTTGGACAATTTCACGGTCAATCGAATCGGTATTTGGCAAACATGTTGGTCTTTTAATTAACCGTCTCTTCCATAAATTTCATTAACATCCATCGCCTTTATTTTACAGTTAACTGAATTGGTAAAATATGACTTTAGATACCTTAAATTGTAGGTAATTTAATTGCCTCCAACATAAAATGTCTAGATTTTCGTGGTCAGTAAAAAAGTGAAAAAACACGTAAATTTGCTACACTATTTGCAATTTACCAACGAGTTACTTTTTTATATTATTATTCTATATACCCTTCCCCGTCATAAACTGCAATAAATAATTTTTGTCCGTGCACTCTTATGGATATTATCGAAGTGTAATTGTGAGTATACTACTTGAAGATAATATATGAACATCGCAACACTTGGCATTTCATTTCATCTCCATGAGGTAGAAACAACGTCTGAAACTGCATATGTCTTGTCTTTTAGGAGTGTATCCACTTCCTTATCTACATTATTTCCTTACTTTTTCCTCTTCTTTCTATACATCAAGTGCTACCATTCCCAATTCATTATTACGAAAATTGGCGAACATGTTTTTATTGTACAACGTGTTCCGTTTTTGTTAGGAGATTCCTTTGTATCTCAATGTCAAAAGTGATTGGATTAATTTGAGTTTCTGTCAAACGAAACAATATCACTAGAAGAGCACTTGATAATTTTGTGTTAAAGTTTCTCCACAGGCATTTCAAAAGGATCACTTTTTCAAAATTAACATTCGAACAACTGATAAGCAATTCTTATAAGGAAATTCTAAAACAAAATTACAAAGTTGCTCAGCTAGTGACCTTGTTCCAAATTAATCCGATTACTTTTGACAGAGATACGGAGGTGCCTCAAAAAAAAATACCGAATAGCCATATAAGAAAATTATATAAGAATATATAATTCATAAGTCTTATTGTAAAATGAACGTAAAAGCCAATATTTTTACATTGCGCCTAGAATAAACTGGACATATTATTCTCGAGTTATACGAATATTGTAAGGCAGGCACGGATTATTAATTTTCGAGTTTCTATGTTAGTTTTCCATCTCATTATATGAGTTTGTACCGTGGTATTGTTTTGCTATTTTCACCTCAAAAACTAGTTTCAGTTTCAAGATGTTAGAAGATCAAGAACGGAGCTTGTTCAAATAAATAACAATACCTATTTTAAATCTTGTAGATTTAAAACTTTAAAAAAAGTAAAATCTAAAAATTAGCATTTATTTTTTTCGTGCTATATTAAATAGAATTTTTTATTTGTACGGAATATTGTACGAATTAGCAATAATATAAATTGATGTTTCATGAAATGTCTAATTGATTTTCAGTCATTTACAAAAGAACTGGAGAGAGTCAGACATATTCTATTCTATTCTAAAATTAAGATGCGTTTACAATAAGACTTATAGCTAATCAACGTTTTATAAAACGCTTCAAATTTTCAGTAAAATCGTAAAAAAAATGTATTTAGACATCATTTTACAATTTGTCTTGTCATTTCTAAAACGCCTAGGCATTTTATAAAAAGGCTGAATTTGCAATTAATCTGAGACATATATACGTACAAAACAATGTAACATTAACTCAACTTTAATTAGTGGCTACTATACAGGGTGTTAATTAAAAAAAATAATTCAACAGACGAATATTTGAGTGATTTTAAGACAAAAAGTTCATATAAACATTAGTCCGCAGATGCTTCGTTTTCAAGATACAGGGTACTTTTGTAAAAAAATTGCTATTTCATAAATATCTTAAATAGCCTTTCCTCGGTTTTGTTGTAATTTGGCAGAGTTATTTGTACTTTATGTTATTTAGATGTTACATGTTATTAATAAAAAATTATAAAAAAATTATAATTTTCAAAAGAAACTTTTCCCCATGTTTCTTGTGTGGTCCAGGGAGATGGAATTAAGTGGATTTTATATTTTTTCTACAAAAAATTTATCAAGATACGAAAAATATTCAAATGACAAAAAAATTGTATATTTAATTGCTTAATTCAAAAAATATATAAAAATTACAAAAAAGTCAGTGGCGTGCATTTTTTTTGTCAAAAGTATTCATTAAGTTACCGCTCGGGACGCCACTGGGCTTAATAAATCTAATCTAATTACAACAAAATTGAGTAAAGGATATTTAAGATATTAACGAAATAGCAATTTTTATACAAAAGTTTAACGTTCAAAACGAAGCATCTGCGGACCAATGTTTATATGAACTTTTTGTCTTAAAATCACTCAAATAATCGTCTGTTAAATTTATTGTACATGTATAAAAGAAAACCACTGAGTTACAAATGGGATTAAATGAAACTAAGCCAAACTAAGTATATCATAGTTTTTCTTTTAATATACCATTGTTTTTTTAGGTTATTATATATTTTGTTTACTTTTGCGTCACAATAAAATGTTGTTACTTGTTGATCCAAAATTAAAAAAAAAATGTGAACATTTCTTTACTTAATATGTATCTGTATGTTCCAGGTAAAATTTCTATCGTCATCGATACACCATGGTACGAACCAGCTACTGAAGATGATGAAGACGCTGCTGAAAGGAAACGACAATTTGTTGTAAGTATGAAAACAATAATATTTCAAATTATAATGATATATGCACATTATGTGATCAGTAGTACTGATTTGTAGCGACATATAGTATGTATGTGGACTTATACCATACAGCAACTGTATATAATAAACATAGGTATATCGAAAAAGCATATCTGTATATTAATATAGTAATTTTAGACGTAGAATCTTTGAAATATCTATTAAGGATTTTTTAGCTATATCAGAGCATATATAAACAAGCTGGCTTTTCGATCTTTTTTTAGCCACTTTCGTATCCTTAAATAGACAAATGGCCACCAGGATAGTAATAATAATTTTTTATTTGTGGGGAAAAGTATATTAAATTAGATAATGATCGCGATAAATATGCAATTTAAAAATAGTAAAATTGTTATTGGTCATACGTTTTCTTACTATACAGGGTGTAGAATTTATAAAAATTAAACTACAGCTTCCTAACGATATTTGCAATAGAAAAGTCATACGAAAAATTTCTATTTTTGCGTTTTTTTTTCGTAAATTAAAGTTCAATTTTATTATGGATCAAAATATTTTCTCTGGAACGGTCCTGGCCCTGTGTTGTACGATGAGTGGACCAGCCGCGTAAACAAATCGTCGTTGAAAGATAGAAAGATAGTTCTCAATTTTTAGGGAATTTTTCAATGCAAAAGTATACAAACTAAAAAAAATAGATATTTAAAAAAAACTGATATTTTCTTATTATAATAATTAATAGTAATTACTACCTTAAATGCATTGTTGTTACTGCAAGAGTTCGCAAAAAAACACATCTGTAAGCATCTATAGTTGAAAACTGCGTGCACTAAACAAAATAAAATAAAACTTACCATTTCCAGAGAAAATGTTGAAATTGATCCCCATTAGCGCGGATACACGCACCCAATTTTGGCGAATATTTTCCAAATTCCAGGTATTCATCTAATTGTGTCAGCAGTTTCAAGTATACTGTTTCGCAATTCTTCCACCGTACCAATTGGAGTATTGTAAACCAATGACTTCAAGTGACTCCAAAGATAAAACTCCATAAAATAACTTCCACTGATATTTTGTTTTATTCTTTTAGTGAAGATTTTATTGTCATAACCAAACTAAAATTTAAAAAGCCATATATCGTCATGGGCAGAATTGAAAAAGCTAAAATGAGGTGTCATTCAAAATAGGGTGCCATTTAAAGTGTAAGGGTATTTTATGCCCTTGCCTAAAGCTTCCAAGACACCAAAACTTACGTCATCATGTGTCCCCCTTGAAAAGAAAATAAATCGACGTGTCTCAGGGTTTTTTTAATTCCGATATTTTCCAGGTGGGAAGTTTTAACTGGAACACCCTGCATACAAAATATTTAAATGAATATATGTACATACATATTATTTGCGACTCAACACATTTTTACTATAGTGAAATTCTTTCTGAGTGTAAACCATAAAAATATGTTTTCTTATATGTATTTAAAAATAATTTAGTGAAAAAGATCAAGAATGTAATGCAGCGTCACAGTTGTTCTCGATTTCTCCTTAATTTTTGTCAACAATAAAATCCGGCAATATTTCTGATTTAAAACGTAATGTTTTACAGTTCGGTTGGTATGCTAACCCCATTTTCAACGGTGACTACCCAGAGATCATGAAGACTCGCATTGCTGAAAGGAGCGAGTTGGAAGGATTCGGAGAATCTCGCCTGCCCGCCTTCACGAAAGATGAGATAGACTACATCAAAGGAACCTACGACTACTTGGGGCTCAACAGTTACTCCAGCTATATGGTGAAGACCGACCCCGAACCAGATATCGGCAGCCCCAGTTGGGATGACGACACCGGTATCTACGAGTATCAACTGGACGATTGGATACCAGCTGCCTCCGACTGGGTTAGGGTAAGGGAAAATTTTAACTAGATATTTTGGAATTTTGTAGAAGTATGTAGAGATCACTTTCAGTCTTATAAGTAATGCAGATTGTTATGATATCAGTCCGCCAATTATTCAGGTGTTTCCTGAAATCATAATGCCCACAAGATAATTTATTCGATTGAAATAAAATGAACAGATGCGTCCCGCGGGATATGTATAGAGGTGCAAAAGGATGGATATGCCTTTCATGGACATTATTTGCAGACAATTATTAAAAATATGTATTTATATTTAAAGGGCGAAAACTACTGAATTGATTATCTTTGTGAGTCACCCAGAACTGAGGATTGGTCGCCATTACAAGAAAATGAAAAGAGCACCTTGAAAATTTTGAGCTCCTAAGAGAGTCAAATTATTTTTTCCAATTTCATAATTATTATTTTTATCTTTAGTAACTTTGGCAAAAAGAGCAGCATCTTTCAATAAAATAGTATGAATATCATCTGCACCTGTAGTTAACTTATTGTTTATATAATGCTATTAGAACGTCTATTTCACCAGTAATCGGTATAGTAAACCTGATTATTGGATTGTATTATCTCCATTTTCATAAGATATTTTAAAATTATTTTAATCCATCACCGTTTAAAAAACATACAATATGGAAATTATATTCATCATCAAAATTTATTGATTTATTGATTTGTTAATTCTTAATAATTAAATAACATCAAAATAATTCTAAAATAACTTAAGACACTAACAAATTGAAAAAAGAAATGGAGGAAGAACAAATCAATAATCTACTGGTGATTTGTATGTAAATCAAATTTACATGGATCATAAATTGAAGAATATATAAATGCAGTTTGAAAAATTGAGCAGATTCATCTTCGATCGTTCTAGCTCATCGAGTTTGGTATATTTTTCTTCTCCTTCTTTTCCTAGCGGTTGGTTCTGATCAAGTCAGTATCAGGCCTATCGTGCGTCCCACTACTCAGTCCTATTCAGCAAATAGTTTTGTCCTTTTTACAAAGTCCCATTTCTTGGGAATTATGTTTACACTAGTTCCTGTTTTTAACTGACTAAGTATATACCAAGCTCTTCATATAAAGGTGTCTAAAGTCATATCTTCAAATAATTAGTCTCACATAAATGTTACGTATGCTTTGTCTTTTAACCTTTCTTCCAATAAACAGTATAGTCCTAGTGTCATTTTGCAGTCACATTTGGGTATCGAAATCCGGCGTTGTGCTTGAAGCGGTCGGGAAAAAATTTCTGTGAGAAAATAATATTTCGTGTAAATTGCGCGTCTCGTAGAGAACAATTCAATAGCAGTTTACAAAATTACCATCGACGTGCAAAATGTTACTGGTAACGAAAAATTCTTACTTTACGTCAAAGCAAAGACCAGAAAAGCAACTCCTCGAACAGACGCTGCATCTGGTGAAGCAATGAAGGCGTCATCTCCTACGAAAATTACTTCTGAGGAATGTAACCATCACTACTGATACTTGTTGTCAATAACTTGGTCTTTTTTAAGCGAAAAAGAGCTGGAAAACATCATTCAGTAATTTTGGAGCATGACAACACCTGCCCTAATATTCCTGCCATCACCGATGCGGTTATTCAGGAGCTCGGTAGGTAGGTTATTCCACATTCGCCTGTCTTCTGATCTTGCTTCATCAAGTTTTCACCTTTTAATCGAACAACCTTCGAAGAATCTTCTTTAATAACGACGTCGCATTTCAAAATCGGCTTCAAGTGTGGAATAGAAATACTATCAGATCGTTGGTTGGCACTCATAAACAATGGAGGAAATCCATGATTTTTTAAAAGCAAAAATAAAAATAAATAACTTCACTTAAAATTTTTTTTTCAAAGAATCTTAGAAACTTTTTGCCTCTTTTCTATCCTTGGGTTTCCCGCCACCATTTTTCTTTTATAGCCTCCACTGACGTGCGCTTAAGAGTGTTAATATCAAAATTAATAACACTGTTGAATGCAGCTCCTGTAAGGTGGTGGATAAGCTTTAACTAATTTATTGACTTCTTCATTGCCCCGTCCATTATAATGCCCTCATAGCCTGATCAAAGCATCCATGTCTATTGGTCTTCAACACAGTTTGACTATCAATGTAAATACCAATTCCATGGTTATTTCCTTCTGTTTTAATAATTCTGTTGTACACTATTCGATAGCCATCACTAAAATCAGATTCTTGCTTCCAGGTTACTCCTTGGGGAATGAGAAAATTACTTGCTTGGGTAAAAAAGACCTACAATAATCCGGCCATCATTATTACAGAGAATGGATTCTCAGATGATGGTACTTATGGTGACGACGCGACCAGGATTCTCTACTACCAGGTATATTAAATTAAATATTTTTACCATTTTTACAATTACGTTTTTTAGACTTATCTAAGTAACGTATTGGACGCTATAATAGAGGATGAAGTTAACGTTTTCGGTTACACTGTATGGAGTTTGCTAGACAATATGGAATGGATGGTTGGATATACGTAAGTATATACTATTTTGATAGACGCAACAAATATGTGGGACAAATAAACACTTGAACAAATGATTTCAGTGAGAAGTTCGGTCTCTACCAAGTAGATTTCAGCAGCAAAAACAGAACAAGAACTGCCAAGCCTTCTGTGGACTATTATAAAAAGGTCATACAAACTCGCTGCCTAGTAGACACATGTGAAACTGATACAAAAAAGCGTTAGAATAGTTTTGTTCAATTCGATGGTAAATAAATGTCTTGAAAGTTATTTCTTTTATATTTCACATCTCAAAAAGTCACGAGCATTTACCTTTGAAACATATTGAATGTGACTTTCTTCGAAATGAGTCTTCTCATTTTCTATACAAACATGTTTTATTTTTTAGACCATCTATCAGTTTTCTAAAAATTGTTAACGTGCTTTGTAAAAGTGAAAAAAGGAAGAAATTCAAATTAAATGAATCAAATTCTCAGAATGATCACATCTAACTTTCAAGCAATTATGTACATGTCATTTTACAAATAAACTGCTGCATTTAGGTACAGTTTTATAAATGAGCCAATCTTTTCGACTAATCCCCACCTCGCAGAGCGTTGAACACTTTCTAAGGATTGTCAGTCTCGGATGAGATCAGAACCAGCGTACTCAAGAATTGGCCTCACATAACTGCAGTTTACTTTACACGACACATCAAATGATAAATTAGTAAACGAGTGAATAGAGTTAGAGTTAGCAAGCTTACACACAAAGTTTACATGACCTGACCATGACAAATTGGAGTTTATTATGACACCTAGGTCATTGTGAGAAGTCACTGTTGTTAGCACTTGTCCATGTAAGGAATACACACAAATGGGGTTATGGAGAACAACACACTTGTCTGCATTTAGCACAAATAGCCATTCACTGCACCAGTTGGCAATGGTCACTAAGTCTCGTTGGAGGGACACATGGTCACTATCAGGAAGGCGTATAGTTTAGTATCATCTACGTAGAAAGATACCTTATTCGTGACGTGATATTGAATGTCACTGGCATATATAATAAACAATAAAACTGAACCCTGAAGTATGCCGTTGAGGACCGGTCTATCGCCGGAGACAGATTCGCCTACTCTCACTCTAAAGTATTGTTAAAAAACTGTTGATCCATTGGTGTAAGGTACCGCGAACACCCACATGATCCAGTTTGTGTAAAAGTCATCTTCTTGGTACTCTATCAAAAGCTTTTGAAAAGTCAAGGTATATTACATACTATGTTATCTTGATCAATGCAAAGTTAATACTAAAATTATTATTTTTTCTTATATAAAAAATTTAAAGAACTTTTATGTTATATTGTCACAAGGAAAACCAATCAGCAACATTAAAAACGAAACATGCTTGTGTGGAGCATAAAAAGATCTTTTGAAGTACCTATTGTATGACCCATTTTCTCTTTGTCATTCTTCTGTAGATGCTGTAAGCTGTGCACGGCGTGACGCCATGCGTCACGTTAGTATATTTGGTACGAAAATGTATGGAAAATGCGTATTGGAGACTTCATTTATACATTTTCATACCAAGCGTATTGCCGTAACATACGTTGTAACACCGTGCGTACCCAGCCTACAGCATATGTGGAAGACCAACAACTTAATTTTTTTTGAGTGAGGGTTACTGTAGTGGAGACGAATGTTACAGTATTACATTTGACATTCAAAATACACAATTCCAAAATAAAAATTGTCTCATCGATTTTTTCATTAGAGGCGTAAAGTTTACGATGGAACTTGTACAACTTTAGCAAACTCAGCTTGTCTGCCAGATGGGCCAAGAAGAGAGTCCGCAGTAGTAGTGACAAAGACAGAATAGGTCAGGTAGCTTCTTTGTAATGTTATGCATACTGATGTTCACCGTTCGAGGTTCAGACAGAGAATGAACTCTAGTCTAGTAACGTTGCCATTGTTCATTAAAACTCGTGGATAAGACGTATATGGTGAAGTTGAGTGAGTATAATATTTTATAGAAGTCATAAGTCATACAGTGTACCATGTCAATATGTTTGGTATGAAAATGTATGGAAAAAATGTGCGTATTGTAGAATACATCTATATTTTCACATCATACATACTGACGTCACGCACACCATACTACAACGTCTACGGAGACAACGATTTACATTCTGTATAGGAGATAAGTTCAAGAACTATAGATTTCAGAATTGGTATATTATAATTCAGTGTGTACGTACATGACGAATTTGAAAGAAAACTAACCAATGATGTCAGAATTAGGGGATCTCTGACATATCCTAATAAATTTAATATACAGAACTATATAAGCTATGTATTTCCAATGCCTTCTTCAGTTTTTTTTACAGAAAGCATTGTTCACAAGTAAAAGTCCAACAAACGTGATAACGTTAGGCAGCAGCGGACCATAGATAAAATCACTTTTTGCTCTAATTTTTCAAATGAAATGAAAAATGAAAATTATAGAAAATTTGAATATATTCTGATTACGTGAAAATGTGTCCTAAATTATATTGGATTAACTCTACTAACAATAACTTAAAAGTATTGTTTCACTCATATTTACTAATCACGTTTTATCATTTGCTATTGGAAAAATGTAAAAGTCTCGCTATTTATCAGCGTTTGATGACACTGAAAATCACATGTTTCTTGTGAAGAAATTGTTCGGAAATATTTAAAACCGTTTGCGGTTAAAGGATTTAAAAAAATAATTTTCCAAATGCCACGATTTGTTCGCAATCAATTCCCGTCATTCTTGATATATCCTTAAGTGCATCTAATGATGCAAATGATGCAACTATCACGATTAATAGCTGTACTGTATTTTGTTCTAGTAATTTCCGTAAGTGGATTTCTAGATTGTGAGATAATAGAAGGCTATATTAAAAAGAGATTTATAAATCATGTGACTATTATTGGTTGCTTCTCCAAGAAAGGTGGGTTTTACAATTTACAGATATAGTTATTATTTATAAATAGGACCTGTAATTCTAACAGAAAATGATCACTGAAAATAAACATCGAAGTTTAATCGAAAAAATTAGAGTTTTAGGACAAGGTAAAAAAATTGTTAATTTAATATCCGATAAACTTCGTTTCTGAGATACAGGGTGTTTCATATTTTATAGATTTTAAGTAACCGACAAATCTTCTTCCATTAATGTTCAAATTAATGTATGGAATATTCTTTTCAGATTACGACATTTTGGAAGAACATAACTCTCCCATTTCATCATTTCATTTACATTTTTCAATCTTTACATTTTTCAGTGTTTGTATTCGGGGTAATACTACACTTGTATTTTTACTTCAGACTAAGAAATAATATTGGCAAAAAGTTCCTATGAATGTAGGATCGCAAATGCTTCGTAGCTATTAAAAATCGTTTCTACCCTCTACTATTAAAAACCATCATCACTCGTCAACAATTATATTTGAAATATTGTGTTCAATCTCTTTCAAACATTCTCTGTTCCAATTTTTGAATATTTGGAACATTATTAGAGTAAAAAAGAGATGATTTCATTCGTTGACCTAAGGAGGCTCTGGAGTTGGTTCAGTGCCAACTCATTTTGGTTCAAATATTAGAATAAATCATTTTAAGGAAAGTCTAAATAAATGAGCGTTCAAAGGCTGTTCTTTGGCGAAGTATTTTTGAAAGTAATAATGACAGTTTTTTTATTAGGTGCCCAGAAGGCAAAGCGAAGTTTTTTTTGATCTGGTACGCCGTTGACCATGTTTGTCATTTTGGCACGTGTGTTAGGGACGTCCTACATGCTCAGTCGGAGAAATAAATACTTGGTTCGTAGAGGAACAGGTTCTTTTTCTTGTCTTATATAAACGTAAAATCTGTGTCGACTAAATTCAAGAAATATGGTCGCTTAATAAAGTTCATGACAATAAAAAAACTATTTGTATGAAAACGAAAGGCTGGTATTATTTGAGTGACCTTTAAAATCTAATAGCCTATAAACCAAATCAATCAGCCTGTTATATAGCATTTGTTTTTTTTATTGACATATAGTACTATACCTCAAAACATTTTTGAAATTTTGATTATTATATATTAAAGTTTGGCTCCTATTTCACAATACAAAGGTTCGTAACATGTAACTTGACCTCCGATTGTTGAAAACTTGGCTAGCTTTTATTAGATAAAAATTACACGGAACTAAAAAGTTATAGAAAACATGTTTGTCCATCAATCAGTAGTCATTATTAATTTGTATTTGTATTTACTGTATTTCTGTTTTACTTAAATGTGCAAGATGCCAAATCGTACTTGATAATATGCCAACTTAACACGATCAGCAGACATTAACATATTAAATTATTCAATTTGACATCTTCTAATATCAACTGTAATATAGAAAATGAGGTTAATCACTATCCATCACTAAAAATAATTGTTGATATATTTCGTTTTGAACTAAAAAATAATAATAACAAGAAAGGGAAAATTAAATACAATTTTAAGTGTGCAAGCTTTTCGATGTCATATGACCGATTTTTGAATAGTACATACTATTCCAGTATGTAAATATTACTAATGTTTACAATCATTTTATGACATAACTATAAGGTGCTTTCCAAAGTCAACAGGTCTTTTCAAAAATAGGTTTTTCTAGTAAGGCCATTTATTGGCAATTGGCAATGCGTTGGAAAGGTAGATCCTTCACCGATGTACTGTCAAAATTGCATGACGAGTTGTGTTTCGGTACAAAAATGAACATCGAACAAAGAGTTAATATAATAATATTGTTTTAAACTTGGTAAAGCTGTTACCGAAACTGTCGTAAGGACATAAATGATGATTACCGCAGATTCCATCAAAACTGTGAGTAAATTCATCAAAGATCAGCCAAAATCTTCAATGAAATTCATGCAATTGAAACTGAGCATCTTAAAAATATCAATTTATCACATTTTGGCCGAACATTTAAGCTAGGTACCGAAAAGGTGTGCACAATTTGTTTCACATAAGTTGACTGACGGTCAAAAACTGCTCAGAATTCAACATTCGAAGGACATCAAGTAGGCCAAAAAGAACAAAAACTTCCTTTACAACATTGTGACTAGTGAGAAACGTGGTGTTTTCAACATGATCCAGAAACCAAGCGCCAGACGAGCCAAAATCCTAACAACGTTTTTTATGAAGAAGCCAAAAATAAAAACAATGTTGATTTGCTTTTACGATTCCAAGGGCATTGTCCACAAAGAGTTCGTACCACCGACCAAACGGCTAATGCACAATGCTATCTTGGCGTTTTGAAGCGTTTGATGCATAGTATTCGTCGTATTCGACCAAAATATTGCACAGAAAGAAATTAGCGTTTGTTACACGATAATTTTCCATCTCATCAATAGACACTTGTGACCGAGTTTTTGAAAAAATATCCCATTTTAATTGTCAACCACATCCCGTATTCGCCTGATTTGGTACCGTGTGACCTTTACCATATTGGAGAACTGTATTTACCGATGAAAGGAAACTGTTTTGTGAACGTAGAAGCCATGCAAAAGGCTTGTACCAACGTCCTGAAGGTCATCGCGGTCGATGATCTAAAACACTCAGTCGACATGTTTTGACACCGTGCAAATCGCTGTATTGAGTCAGAAGGGAATTATTCTGAATAAAATAAAACGGTTTTGTCAAAAAAACTTTTTGTTCTTATTTTGAAAAAGCCCTGTTTACTTTGGAATGCACGTTGTAATACCCTTAAGACAGTTCTACCATTTTACAAAAATTATAAACAAAATTTTCAGGTCTGGTTCAGTGATACGAACAAATATGAACAGAAAAAAAGACAGGTCATAAAAATGATAAAAAATTCAGATTTTTATTTAAATCACTATAATAACCTTAGAAACGTTATTATTAATTCAAAAGTTATAATAATAATAATATCTCTACTCCTCATTCTAACTACGAGAATTAGCCCAGAAGTCAGAGACTTGTGCGGGAGAGGAGGCGGCATATTATTATTACGCAGGCCGCATTTGCGCCCAGGAACGACTTATGTTGGTAGGCCCTAACCACCATTCAGTGCAGGAATGAGGGAAACCTGGAAAACCTCATTAATTAGGGGGTGGTCAAATGCCAACCGCTGTCAATCTCTCACATTGACCCAAGCCAACATTCTTCTACCCTACCATATCTGCACAGAGGGTGACAATCCTCCGTACAAGCATAGCTAATCTACGGTCTACCGGCCGCGGGATTAGAAACCCGGGCAGATCGACACATCGATTTAAATACTGATGCCTTAAACCGTGCGGCTATCGACCGTTTTATCATTCTTATTAGTATATAAAAAATGTTGCGAACGAAATTGCAGAAGATACCGCCAAAGTTTTTGTCATTCGTTCATTGTTCATTATGATGGCACATCGTTGAATTCACCTACTATCAATAGCTGACGTTTTCTTCAATTATTTTTCTAGTGGTTGCAAAAAATCTAATATTAAGATTAATAATAACTTATCACAAAAATATGACTTTAGAAACATAAGCGATGTTACAGAGGATGATATAAAAAATGCAGTAGGTAAGTAAACTGAAAAATAAATTGACATCAGATACTGATTTTCCAAGTTCTATACTTATGACGGCCCACCCCAGAAAGTCCGGTGTCCATTCCCAAAAAAAAAACAACAACAATAATATCATCTTTTTCATTTCGGTAAGTCGCTAACTATGCCACCTTTTTTATTAGAATCAAAGAGTTCTTAGGTTTTGAAATACCGAGAGATCTAGAATGATTGAGGCGTTTAAGGAACGCAGCCTGTTTCTAACACCATCTTTGGCATATAAAAATCTGTAGTATTGACAGAGACAGGCACAGACTGCGATCTCCAAACACTTCAATCATTCTGGATCTCTCTGTATTATATCAGTAAGTCGTTGATTGCGTGTGTGTGTTTTTTATAGAGGCCTCCATAGAGCATGCAGTAACAAGCAAAAATCCTAGTTACGCCTACGATTAATACCAAGACAAAATTCCCTATTATATGATACTTTTTATTCTACTTTTACCAGAACAAATGCTACGAAGAAATCACTTGATAATAATATGTCTTATTTACATATTTAGGTTTACCAAATACATGCGATATAAATTATAGTTGACTATGTGAAATCTTAAAGTTACCTATACCAAAATTTCATGTGCCACTATGATATGTATTTTTAAATAATTTTACTTTGTAATCGAAATTCTAATTTTTCCTGTAATTAGGTAAAAACCTGTTGAAAATAAATTAAATTATTATTGCCAGTGAAAATTGATATCCTTTTTTTCATTTCAGAACAACTAAAGATTGTCAAAAAACTTACTTCAAAACTAATGACATCAGTCTTAAATTTAAATAAAACCAATATTCATCAAACCTTAGAAACCACCCTTCATTTGGGGGTCATCTTAGATGGAGACTGTAATGGAGTAAAACATTTTTTATCAATGGTAAGCAGCTTTGTTAATTTTTGGATAAAGTGAGACCAAAGAATATGGGTCAGTTGAATGGATAATATAACACTTATGCTAATGAATTTTAATCCAACCAAAACAGAGTTTTTATATATTTATACAGTGCGAATCGGGAGAAACGCACCAGCAAACTCCAAGAATGGATTCTACACGTCAAAATATGTAATAAGAAAAAACTCAAATGTTATACGGTGTTCATTTGTTCAAAATTTAAACACTTGAAATTAGAGTAAGTTATGTTCCAAGTTCAAAAGTAGGATAGTGTCATTTTATGTTGCAATAGTATATTACACGTTTGTAGGATCAAAGTGTTACAAAGTGCCAAGAACTTATTCAAATTTAGAGTATGCAAATATGGTGTTTTTACAGTTTTTGTAATAAGAATGCTAATGTTGCTGTTGAAGAATATTGGCAACGGTTTCCACTTCACAAATGTTCTGATAAAAGTGTATTTATCAGAGTTTTTAACAAACTGTGCGAAACCAGAATGCTTCCCAGTGCTAGTATAACATCTGAATATTCTAGATTCTACTAGAAAATGATGCAACTACTAGTTTACAAAGAATTACTCTCAATTTTCCACAAAAAAGAGTAATAAAAACCCTCCACGAGTTTTACTATCGGAATATATATAACCGGAAGATTTTGCTAAGCGCATGGAGTTTTGTCGATGGATTAATAATAATCACCTTGTTGTATCCCGCATAGTTTTTACGGATGAAGCAAAATTCACCAGTAATGGCATAACTAATACTCAGAACTCTCATGTATGGTCAGAAGAAAATCCTCACGCAACACTCGAAAGTATTTTCAGCATAGATATAGTTACTTAACTGGCCCTTTTATTTTGTAGAATCGACTCACAGAAGACCATTACTTAATTTTTACAAAATAAATTACAAGTACTACTAGAGGATGTTCCTATAAACATGAGAATGCGAATGATTAACAGCACTATGAAGCTTTTGCACATTTCGCTCGTTCAGTCAAGTTGAGCGAGAGATTTACAGGGCGTTGGATTGGCCGCAGTGGGCCTATCAGTTAGCCTCCAAGATCTCCAGACCTCACAACACTAATTTACCGTTTATGGAGTTGATTAAAAAATGAAATGTACAAAGTTAGAGTGAACACTCGGGAGGTACTAATTAGACGTATTTATCGATATTGCAGCAATTATTAAGGAAATACAAATGCAGCAATCAAAAGAGTTACAGACGCCCTTCGTAGACGAAGCAGAAAGTGTTTAAAGGTCAAGGTGTTTAAAGGTGGTGTTTTTGAACATTTAATCCAAACAACGCTATGATTAGTAAATAATCAGTACTTTTTTTATTGAAATGTACGTCATATTGAAAACAAATGAAAGTCGCATAACATTTGAGTTTTTTTCTTATTATTTTGATGTGTAGAATCCGTTCCTGGAGCTTGGGAGATTCTCCCGACTCACCCCGTATATTGTGTATGGGTTGATGTTACATTTTTTCTTAGATTTTATTTAATCTTTATAAGTATTTATACAGTACGTAATTATTAAATTGCAAAAAAAATATTTCTTATATTAAAATAATAGTACCTGTTTCATTCGTTAGTAAACTGTCCCTTTTCAAGGCCTACATATTATTGAGTATAGTTGGCTATGCTAATAGATTAGTCAAAGTAAGGGCAGATGCATGCCCACAAATTTTAACGTTTGTAGGTTGTCAGGATCCAAATGCCATTGCGATCGACGCCCGCAGATCTGGCTAATTACACATTTATTATTGTTTATGTTTTTTCTTTAGATCTGATCGCGTTGATTGTGCTGCCCCCTGGGCGCAAGCGGCCTAATTAATGTCTTGTCCTTCATATATAATGTACCGACATATTTTAATACTGCTTTTCCAAATTTGATCATGAACATAATAAATATCTACTATTTGGAATTTATTGGTAAAGTTTGATATAACAGTATTCAGAAAGGTCTTAATTAATGTATTTGGTGTATTTGTATCAAATTTGCGATAAAATGTCGCAGTACGGTTTCTCAGGGGGTGCACAGCTACTCGTACTTTTATAATTATCTTAAAAAATAAAGATTCAATGGGATTATGCACTGCTTAACGCGTACACACTGTATGCGATACCTGTCATTTATATTTTAGGGTGGCAAACATAAGTATTTTGATGAAAAGCACCATTGGTTGGTACTTACATCAACAACAAATTTCACACATCTTTTCGATAATGTGGAAATCTACATAAACGGTAACATAGAAATTATTTACCCCGAGAAAAATGTTAGTTCTGTCAAAAATTATACCATACAAGCGGTTTATAATCCTTCTTCTAGCCAAGGAGGGTATGTTAAGTTCTATACAGTAGGTTTCTACAACACAATGGAAGGTTATACCTTTGGAGAAACATATCCTAAATATTCCTTGCGAAGAAATATGACAGGAGTGCGTTTGAAAACTATGGTTGTGGTAAGTATCGTTATTTATGGTTACGAAACCAGTGGTGAGAATATACGCACCATTTTGATATTTTCTATTCTACTTGCACCCGATCGGGAAGGCTTCTCCAACGGTACTTTCTCGACTTCTTCCTTATTCTTGTCTGCTGTTTTCCCTAAACCATCCATTGGTATACCGGATGCTACAGCTCGCTTACTGCGAGATTTCTGTGGTCAAAATATAGCGATACAGTGCCTTAATCAAATGTTGGAAATCATTCATATAAGTGTTAAAACAAAATGGGTACAAAATGAAATTTTTGAAATTTTGCCCAAAAAAACTTACAATTTGTTAAAATTTGACATTTTTCGAAATATTAACATCTTTTAGAATCACAAAATAGATATCATTGTACTTAGATAGATATCGTAGTAACTCAACTGATATCGTAGATATATCTTTCTCTGGTTTTAGTTGCCCATTCCATTCAAGGGTAAGTTATTAGATTATTTAGACAACGAAGAAAATAGAGACATCAATACGTTCAATCGTTATCAGTACAATTTGATGTCCTTGTGTCAACGGTTTTACAATTTCACGTAAGTCGTTTTGTTTATTAGGCATATTTTGCCTAACTGGCTAAAACATTGTAGAAAAGAAGTAACAATTTCCACAACCTGGGGATACAAAAAAGAGGATGGCTCATTCGATGGCCTTGTAGGAGCCCTTGAAAGAAAGCAAGTAGATTACGGAAGCTCACCTATCTTTGTAAGGACTGACAGAGCAAAAGTGGTACAGTACGGAAGGAAGACTTGGACCTTAGGGTATTATTATCTGTAATTTGATGAAAAAAACAAAAAGCCTAATAGTGATTGTTTTTGTTGAAAGAAATAATTTGTACTGACTAAGATTCTTTAAAAATGAATGAGATATGAAGCACTCACTTACGAAATCATGCAAACTTTAAACTTGATACAATCAATACCATCTGTAATGCAAAGTCTCACATCTGATATTGTGATTGCTTTGTGACATACTACTCACGGTAACTGTAAATAATAGAAGTCGGCGTAAACAGTATTGTTAACTTAATATAATAAATTCGACTACTTATTACGAGATTATTTTTCAATTTGCAATTTTAACATTATTGCGTGTGTTATGTACTTATTGTAGTAATTCGCGTAATTTCGACCAATAAAGGCGAAGACTGGAAAGCTTGTTGAAACCCATAACAATTAATAATCCGAGAAAAGCCTTTAGTTCATCCAACCACGATTCTAAAGGATTATTTTTCTAATCATAAACATTGTTTCCAAAATATTTCCATGAAAGAAATTTAAAAATAATTTCACTGACGACTGTACATTCACAGGAATTTTAGATCTACAGGTTTCCGTAAACACGAACCAAACGTAATTATTACCTGCATCTTGCTTAGGCCATTTTATAGTTGGGGATTTTGTAACTGATTGTCCTTGTAGCGGTAAATTATCAGAATCCGAGCAGCCCGAGTCAGAGCTTTGTATTCTGGCGGAAGGATCTTCTTCGACATCGTCATCTACTTCCACATAGAAGTCTTTCAGGGCTGTCTGATTTGGCAACTTATTGAAATTCATTCCGATGATCTGTATCAGAATCGCCACCAATATCTTATCCCTTCTATACAATTCATCAGTGTCCATAGCCTCTAGCTTATGCAAGTCAATATTTTGGAACCTAGCCATTTTCTGTTTGTCGGAGTGTTGAGTAAGCAAGATGCATGCACTCATTCCGAAGAATTAGCAGCATGTTGTAGTTGCGGTTAGACAAAATAGAGTGGTATAAGACGGATGAGACGGAGATTGTGAAAATTAGTACGGAAAGTGTGTAGCTGAGACTGTGTGCAAATTACGTGGAATTGTCAGTAGAAGAAATGCATCGAATGAAACAACTATAAAAAGGTTGTTGCTAAATTTTTTGGGGTTCGGTTGCGTGCAGACAATATAAAAACAGAACGGCCTGTTACTGGCAGTTCAACCGAAAATATTGGTATGGTGAGTGATAGTATCGCACAAATTCCTACGACCTCAGTTCAACATTTCAAAAAGTACAATGAAGATTCAGCTAACCTAGGAATTAAAACCAGACGTCAATTTAATGCGCCAGACATTCGTTGATTGGATGTTGAAGACTCAACAAGTGGACGGTGATTTTGTTAAGAAAATCATCTTTAGCGACGAAGCACATTTCCATCTTTGTGGAAATTTAATGGACGACTCATGTTATGTAACAGTGAAATGGCCACCAAGATCACGCGATCTTGCGCCATGCAATTTTTTCCTGTGGAGATCGCTATATCGTCTGATCCCTTTAGAACCATTAACACTCACAAAAACGATGGATATGAGTGGATGTGGACGAGAAAGTCTAATAGATTTCGTGTAATAATGATTTCTTCCTTTATATTTGGTAAATACAGAATGACCACATAGCGTTTAGTTGATAATGATGACTGCTCACGATAGAATTAAAGACTTGCAGTAACACTAATTCATGCGTTCCTCCAAAATTTATAGCCAAGATAAAACATAAAGCAAAGAATAGTGAAGCAAATTTTGGAAAAAAGGACTAATTTTATGAATACTAGTATGAGTTCATTGCTCATAGATCGGTCATAAGATCGCCCTACTCAATAAATTAGATCAATTATTTTTAATTTATTATTTACGATGCAAAATTATTTCATTTTATAACCATGTCATCTAAATATGAATCCATACTGGCTAAAAGCTTTTATTAATAATATTTATTTTATTTATTTGTTATCAAATGCGATCCTACTGATTTTTGTTGCGCTGAATTTTATTTGTTTTAAATACAATAACATTACCTACAATTGTAATGAAATGTATTTGTTCCAGGGCAGCCTTCATTTTTCGAAATCCAAAATCATTATCTTCTATAGAAGGATTTATTAAACCGTTATCCTCTTCTATTTGGGCCCTGACGGCAGTGTCCGCAGTGTTATTGATAATTCTTCTTAGACTGAGCTGTGTATATGAACATCAAAATATATATCAACACGTGGATATGTCTTGGAGTTACTTTGTTGTATGCATAATTGGCGCCTTATGTCAACAAGGTACAGTAAGAAAAACTTAAGAAAACGGGGCAAAATAATTCAATAATACAATAATATTGTTTAAGTTATTGTTAAGTGCTACAAATCATCAAGCTACTCACCATAATTAACGTGACATCACCAGTTCGACAAATATTGTACGTCATTTTCCACATTCTAAAAATCCTTTCGGGTAATTTTCATAGAGTGCGCGTGTTATATAAATTATAAATAATTAGGAAAATTATTAAATTACTGGAATTCGATAATTTTATAAATATTTTCATATTGCATATATTATAGGACTTTTTATTAATGAACTAAACATTTGTTTGCAGGTATGTCGATTACACCAAAATTCTTATCAGGACGGATAGTGACATTGTTCCTGTTTCTCTTTGCGCTGCTCATATACCAATTTTACTCTGCTAGTCTTGTCTCAAATCTTCTGATGGAGCCTCCGACAAAAATTAAATCTTTGGATGATATCACTAGATCAAACTTGAAAGTTGGTTGCGAGGATATTGTGTATAATAGAGAATATTTTTTGGTAAGATAGTTTTAGTCAAAATGTAAGATATCTCTTCTAAGACGACAAATCTTCAGTGAATAACATTTTTTCCTAAAACGCTTCTTCTACACCAAGAACAGTATGTTTGTAGAAGGAATGTCGACAGTAACAGTTCATCGCCAGTTAATGGTGAAGCCTGATTATGGACAACTATCATTAGAATTTAATTGAGGGGGTCTAGATCTTTGGGAATGCAGACAATTTATTTATTATTTATTTATTTAAAATACACATCCAAGTGGCGATGCCCAATAACAGGATATGTTAAGTCTAGTAATAAAATATGAAAAAAGTTAAAAAAGAGAAAAATTAACAATGAAAAAATAGAGAAAAAAATAGTACAAACTTACAAATAACACAAACATAAAGAACAAAATAAAAAGGCAACAAACTATAAAAGACAGATAAGACTACATAAGTAAAACATTTTTTATATCATTAGCCAAACAACAAACAAGATCGGCATTATTTTCTATCTCACTGTACATGCAAACAATTTGATACAATGGTGATGCTATTAGAATGTTACTACGTGCTGCGGGTAGACTAAAAACATTAATACTTCTAGCTGATAGTAGTGGTACTTTGATATTAATATTATTTAAAACACCTGGACAGTCAAAAATGTTATGTAGAACTTTATACAAAAACATTACTTGAAAAACAGACCTTCTTTTCGTAAAGATATGAATATTGAAACCCTCAAGTAATAGATCATGCGGAAAACCCTGAGGGGGATATGTACCATCCAATAAGTTGATACCAATACGAACCAATCCATCCAATAAGCTGATTTCATAAACCTACGCTGTACTCTTTCCAAAGTTGCAGTTTGATTAGCATAAATTGGGTTCCAGACTATTGATGAATATTCTAATTTAGAACGAATAAAGGTAGCAATAGTAGTGTAGAAATACTGATAAAGCCTATGTAATTCCTTATTATGAACCCCATATTCTTGAAAGCAGATGACGTTATGTTTATATGTTTTGTAAAAGATAATGTAGGGCCAAATGTAACTCCAAGGTCTTTTATGTAATCGGGTCTATGCAATACTATATTATCCAATTTATAATCGAATAGTACATAATCTTTTTCTTTGGTGAATGTAATGATATTGCACTTGGAGGCATTTAGCGTTAAATTATTATTTAGACACCACAGACAAATGACATTAAGCGCATTCTGTAATACATTGTGATGCTCCAATTAAGATAACTAGTTTTTTTATGTTTGTGTATTTCTATGTATTTTGTAGTGTTGAGCGCCAGTGGAAATATTATAAATTTTGACTATTCATTTAGAAAATATAATTTTATTACTTACCAGGCTAGCTTTCTTATATGATATCACTCAATTTAATATAAATTGTAATTTAAAGATTATTTGTTTTTTTTTAAGTATCCGGGATTTAAAATGAGAATCTATTTTACTTTTGATTATTTGAATGACAAATAGATTACCTATGTCAATTTTGCATAAATAATAGATATAAAATTTAGTAGAACATGAGTTCTTATCTCAGTAATCGGTTCGTAAATTAATGTTGGAATCTGAGTTAAAATTTTATATTGATATAACAAATGATAAACAAAATAATAGAAATTTATAGTCCCTATTTACCTTGCGCTAACTTATTTCTACTCTACAAACATTCACTTATTATCTATACATACATCTTTACTATCCGTTCTTTCTTTTACTGTCCATAATTTCTTACGTAGAAATTTTCTTTCTGCTACGCCTCCTGTCCTCTTCCTTCTATTCGTCCACTCACTCTCTCCTTGTGGTCAGTTAGTTCCTTTCTCGGTCTCTTGTCTCGCTCTGCTGGCTGTGATTTCTCGACTCGTCTTAATAGCTCCTACTCCTAGTCTCCTTTACTCTTAGCTAAGACAATTCAAATACTTTTTACTAATATGACTTATTTGATAGTTACGCTTTAGTTATCTGCCAATTCTCCTTTTTCATTCTTCTCACACAATTTTTTCCTCAAAAAATTTTCTTTCTTGTTCTCAGTAACTGATTTTCACTTTTCCTTTCGTATTCTATAATTTATTTAGCTTTTTCTTATACAATCTGCTTTTTCTCTTATGACAATTAATCTCCTCTCTCCTGTCTTATTTATTTATTATTATTATTTTTTGTCTCCTTGAGTACCACTGCACTGCACTCTTATTTTTAAATACATTTTTTTTTATTTAACCAATCAGATTACTTTTAATTTTACATTTCCAATTTAACTTTTGCAATATTATGTAATTTCCTAGTACCCTTATTTTATAACCACTTTTATTAATATAGATTGATATTTCATTAAAATTCATATTTTACTTTTAAATTGTCATTTTGCATCCAATTGTCATCAAATTTCAAATCTGTTACTTACACTCATTCTTTGACATTAATCTCTTTTCATCCCAATACTGAAACTTAAACTTTTGAACTTTTGATTCATCTCAATATAGCAGTCGGCGATGGTGTTTATTTCACAAAATAGCTTAAGGTCATCTGGATACATTAAATGGTGTACTTGTAGATCAACCATGAAATTTACGAAAAGAACAAAGAGTAACAGTCCGAATATAGATCCTTGAGGCACACCAGATATTTGATGAAACTTGTGTGATTTAAAACCACGATGCTGAACAAACTGATACCTATTTTGTAAATACGATTCAAAAAGTTGCAAAAGTGATTCGGACACACCAAACCCATCTAGTTTGAAAAGGGAATCATATAAATCATAATCGCATTTACTAGAAAAAAAGAGTTTAGTCATTTTAAATTCAAGACGTACTTGGAGCTAGCAGCTATCCCGAGACAAAACATAAGAATCAAACTAAAAAAAAGTACATACATCACGATGATAATGTTATCATCGTTATGCATATGTTATGCATATGTATGCATCTTTGAGAAGGTAGGCAAGACATAAAAGTCTCTAGGTAAATTACAAAAGTTTTGCAAAAACATTCATGGGACACAATAGAATTAAAAATGCAATGAGGGTGGGGGTATAATATTGACAAATTTGTTTACATATCCGAATATCTGAAAGAGCTGGGAGTTTTGGACAGACTATAATAAGTTAGCTCTGATATGGCACATTCAGGTGTTGAGGGCAATGAAAAAACTGACGAAGTGCCCAGGAAGGTTTGATTAGTTCCTCATATTGGCCCGGAATCTGTCCAGGGACTGTGTAAAACCACAGTACTGGGATAAGAGATACCAGGACAACTTACCCAGGCATAAACATACTGAGCTCTTCATCAGTCAACAGGAAAGAAAATTGAAGAACTGCTATCACTGTCCAGGAATTAGAAGACATTGTAAGAAATGGGCTGTATGACAAAAACATATAATGTAGACGGTTCAATAAGGCAGCATCACATCTGAACGAATGTGAACCATTAGACTACAGAAGATACAAAATAGGAGATTGGAAATTTAGTATAATGAGTCACAAGGTTCTTCTGCAGGCATTGTAAGATGGTTCTCTAAAAAGAGGACTCCTTGAAGGGGGGGAGGAATCCTTGAAACGTGGCAGGTGGAACACAGCTTTTAATCAATACAAAAAAGACAGTTATTAAAGATACACATTTCTAACTAGGTGCAATACTGTTTACTCATAGTTGATGTCTTCAAGTAATTTATAACAATTTCTATCCTTTACAGGTTTTAATTGTTAATAGAGAAGCTATTCGATGTCGGATCTTCTTTAATCTCATTACCAATTTTTTTTGTTTAAATTATACCAAATGTAACTGCTACGAGATACAGCACAATAGATAATAAATTTTGAAATCTGTATCTTTAATTATCGCATAGCTTTTCTTGAAAAGAAGAAGAGGAAACAGTGTTATTTCTTTATTTATTTTGACGAGAGGAGTTATTCTTAAAGTTTGTTATCGTATTGCTCTTCAGTTAAACACATTCCAGTACGAAATTTTTCTTTTTAGAATACTATAGACAAACCTTCGAGGAAATTGTACTTTCAGAAGTTATTGGGGCCGAATAATAATTCACATTTCTTGCCTCCGGAAAAAGGTTTAGAGTTGGTTGCCAAAGGGCAATACGCATTTCATGTAGAAACAACCATTGCATATCCCATTATCCGAAAAACTTTTAAAGAAGATGCCATTTGCGAGTTGAGACAAATTGAAATGCATAGAGTGCAATCGCTCCACACTAATTTCCAAAAGAATTCACCGTATAAAGAGATGTTTGATATATGGTACGTACATGGTATATATTTATAGTAATTTAATCACCGATGTCTGAGATATTACCTAAAGATTGTGGTTTTGTTTTCTCCTGTGAAAATTTTTAGACTCTTATTTTTATTGTCTAGGTAACAATTTAATTAATAATTTTAATGTGCACTTGTTTTCAAAATATTTTCTTAAACATTATTTTAATCTTTTAAAATTATTATCTACGTCTATATTCTTATCTCTTTAATATTGCTTTCAATAAAATCAAGACATTGATCTATCATAAAATCAAGACCTTATAATTTAGCGATGTTAATAGAGTACCTTACTTTTAAGTTTTTATTTTAATATATAAGTAGAACAAATAAGTCACACCTTTAAGTGATGCCTCTATCTTTCTTCTAGTTTACAGCATTTAGCAGAAGTAGGAATAATGACCAGAGAGATAACATTTTGGCGTGCAGCAAAACCCGACTGTATCCGTTCGTCAAAAACGGGCGCTTTTAACATAGGGTTGGACGAATTCTATCCAGCTTTGGCTTTATTAGGATTTGGAATAGCTTGCAGTGTGGTAATACTCCTTTTTGAAATGTTATTCTTTTATAAACAAAGATGTGAGGAAAAACAGAAGGAAGTATTAACATATCCATTTATAAAATAATGATATGCGATGTAGGTACTAAAAAGTAATGTAATATGTGTTATTATATTTCTGATTATAGTTAAGTATTTACATGGCACATAGATCGACATGTAATTAACTTGTATTGAAAGATCTTTTTTAATGGTATATCTTTGGAATTCTCCACACATTTCACGAGGAATACAGCCTTATTTATTACTTTATTTCCATTCAAGCTTAATCACTAGTCACTACCAAATCAATTAGTGCATACAGTGCATTATTCATGTTTTTGTATGATCTGATATTTTATTCATTATAGTAATAAAAAACAACAAAACAATTTTAATTGTTTTTTTTATTAATCATTGTAGAAAAAAGTTCATTTATTTAACTCTGAAGATATTTCTGTAGCCATTTAATTTATTTTTTCATCAGTTAGAGAATAAAGTACAGAACAGACTGAATTAAATAAAAACTCTAAACATTTAACGTAGAAACATAAAACTGTTTATCTTCATCTGTAGGTAATAACTAGACACTGCATACAACGCCATATCATGAGATGTGCCCCATTTTGGTCGTATTGAATCGTGTGGTGTAGTATCGCGTCAGATTACTGAGGTCTAAAGGCACTATTATGATAATATGTACTTCTTCTGAGGAGTTGGAGAGAAACTGAATGTGTAGGTCAGTGGCGGCTCGTGACATTGAGAATAGGTGAAGCATATTCAATGATTGCCTAAAAAGAAAAAAAAAGTGCCGCTGGCGAAAATTTTCAAATTTTCAATGTCAAACGGCTTTAAATGAATCTGGAAATTTTTAGTTACATTTGCAATATTACCGAAAAATTGACGTTCGTGAGAAAGATTTTCATTTAGTTTTTATAAAAAACAGAAATATTAGTTCGGCTTGTGGACTTCTGCGAACATTAACGCACACCGTACATGTATGTTCCAAAGAAGCTTTGTGGTTACGACAACCTTCGCGTGATGTTCCCAAAATTGTTAAATCTCTTCTTATTCCACACGCCCGACTTTACACACACAATTAAGCACGGCATAAGAAAGGTTTTTTTAAATGAACACTTCCACACAACCACTTATACTCCGAATGCCATTCATTCCGAAACTTTCGAACGTACACGTTGTCTTTTGACTTTTGACTTCCCTTTTTTTAACATCGAGAGAACAAAGGCCGATTCTCATTAGACGAGCAAGGAACCGGATCGGCAACGGCAGGGCACATACTCGGCACGAACCGAGGTTTCAGAGACAATTCGCACTGCGACAGACATGCCACAGGTATAGTTCCCTAGCTTTGTGAAAAAATGTTAGCGATTTCCACTTGTCAGAACAAAACTCAATTAAAAACCTTATGACTGCAAGTTGACTGCCTGGAAAGTATTCACACTTGTCGGAACATGCACGGCATATGCCCTGCAAAATTCTTTCGGAAGAACGTCGCGTGCAAAGCCTGTCGCTTGCCGAGACGTTGCACGTATAATTGTAAGATTCGATCGACTTACCTGTAAGGATGATCAATCTCAATTATTTGAGCATCGTAGTTCTTCTATGATTCAAGTTGGTAGGTCTCACTTATACACGACGCGCGCACAGGTTTAAAGGAAAACAGTTTTTCGTAACAGTCCCTTACTACTTATTGATAGCCAGCCAGTTCATTTTGTGACCGAACCAATCGCGCTGTGGGTAAAAAAAAAGAGTGGCGGGTGGGCCCCATCATAGAAGAACTACGATGCTCAAATAATTGAGATTGATCTTCCTTACAGGTAAGTCGATCGAATCTTACAATTATTTTTCGCATCTCCGTTCTTCTATGATTCATGTTGGTAGATGTTTAGAGTAAACAATTAGCGCGATTAAGTGCAGTCAAAAAAGTTTCTAAATTATGCGCTATTTTATAGTTTTATGAAAAAAGCTTCTCAAGTAAAATAAGAAGTACTTATATTTTATCAAATTATGACAATCAGAAGAATTAGTGGCTTCTTCTGCTTACTGTTTTCATATTTGATCTAAATTAGTTTTTAAAACAAACTTTTTTTTATTTTCAGTTTTCCTTTATTATTGACCATATATCACTTATTATGTATCATACAATATATTGAAATGAAATCAGATATGAGAGAACAAATCAAAATGTAAATCAAAGGTCTATTTAAAAGACAAAGCAGTAAATATGATGGTCTGAAGTGGTTATTATTTATTGTTGTTAGTATTGAATCAGTATTAGGAATCATATCCGTTACCGATATCTAATAAAAGTTAAATGTTAGAGTATTTATAAATAGTTATAGTATATGGTATAATATTAAGTAGGAAAAAATATTAAAGGTCAAAGAAGAGTGTATATCAATAAATGAATATGTCAAAGAAATGTCAAAAATTTAAAGTGGGATTCACATGGAATCAAGTAGTAAATAGAAAAGTAACATAAGAGTAGAGAATGAGAAATATTTTGAAGTGGAATGTAAATGGAGATTGTTAAGAAACTATAATAGGGTATAAGTGTAAAGGTTAAGTGAAGTGAGGTGAGTGAAAAAGAAAAAAAACCGGCAAGTAAAAAGAAAGCAGAACGAGATATGTGAAAAGACCTTAACAGAGGAAAAACCAAAATCAAGGTAGTGGAAAAAAAATAATAATTATTGATTAGTTACAAGAAA